TATAACATTGAATTTATCATAGGTAAGACTATAATAATTTCGAATATTACATAAATTTAACAGAGCTTTTAATATACACTTATATATGTTTAGTATATGTAATTATATACATACATAAGTACATTGTAGTAATTATCAAGATAATCAATAATTTTTTAGCAGGTATCATTTATTTCTAATCAAATAATAATTTAAATTATCATAATAATAATAGAGCATAAATTTATTTGTTTTTTATATATAAAATTAAAATTTCAAATTTTTGTTTTTCTTTCTTTTTTTTTCTGTTTATCAATAATCCCTGGAATCGTAAATTTTTTTTTTTTTGCTATAATTTGCACTCTCTGTATGTATGTATGGATTAACATGTATGTACAAATTGAATAAAAATTTACGTAGAAATATAGGTATACATACATGATTACATTAGTATAATTATATAGAGATATTATGATTGTATAGGTATGCAAGATATAGGTAGCAATGAAAGTATGTATGTACATATGTATATCATATTAAATTTTATAAAGAGATTATAAACGTATGTGCATATGTAATAAATTTCATTGCAAGAAACAAAAACAAAAATATTTTTGTACACGTATTATACAATTGCTAATTAAATTCTAATACCTCTACTATACTTCTCCGGTCAAAGTGTCGGCCGTCGCCTTAGCACAAAATCAAGATATCACCATATTTGAATATTATCGTTCTAAAACGGTGAATGAGTGAAATGATCTTCAGAAATCAGAAATAAAGTTGATAACACACATACATAATGTACACCAACTAAAAGTCTATATTATAAACTTCCTTCCTATAAAATGAATTTAAGAATTTATCTAAATTCAATTTACTATAACAATTACTTTCCTTAACATAAACATCCTATGATTGAATATTTTTTAAATTGTATTTATACATTCGAGTTTTCTATGGCACTTTCGTAGCAAAGAAGGTCTCCAACAGATTTGAAACGCTCTGTACAAACATAGTCTAAATGTTTTTCATTTTCATTCGATATTCAAAGAATGTAATAATAGATTATTGTGCTTTAGATCAATTCCGCTTTTCCGTATTACAATCCACCAATATGCCTATTTTATTAATTTTTTGACATAAACTTGAAGTTCTCCTTTGCAATTTATATGAAATTTATATGAATCTCCCTTTACACATATAAATTTAAAATTTTTTTTATAAAGAATAAGAATCTGGAAGAATTGGAAATAGAAATCCCATTATTTTGATTTAGATCCGGACTCACTCGGCTTACTGAATTTCGTTTGGAAACGTTACGGGAACATGTATATGTAAATATATATGGCGAGTATAACGCAAGGGCAATCTAAATTTAAATCAAAACGAAGAAACTACTTGCATGTATTGCAAAGAAGCGGCCGAAGAGAGTAAAATATACTATCTATGGGAGTAGTTTTGCAAGTACTAAATTTTGATGTACAGGACTTAAGAATATTTGGTGTCTTCGGCCTCACTGCATGACAAGTAATATTATTTCTGTATTAATTTTAAGAATTAAAATTTATTAGAAAATTTTACATATTTTTTTTGTAATTTTTTAAATTATATGTTAATATCAATTATGATATCCTATATATCACAGAGCTATTAAAATTTAAAATAAAAGAATTTTGCACAAAAACAAAAAAAAAAATATAAAAATAATGAAATTCTATTTTATCAAAACGATTAAAAATTGATATGGCATCATTATGTATTCATGCATAATAACGACATACACACATATATCCAAATATATTTTATTATGTTCAATATATTGTAGAAAAAAGAACAAAAAAAAATTATTTTTTTTTTTAAAATCAAAATAAATAGAATTATCTTACATATATATTAGATGTATATATGTGGATATGTAGTTATAATTAAAAACATTGCTATTTTTATAATACATATACTATATTCTCAATTAATCATTTCTATAATATAGTCTACATCTAACTTCATTTACAATAAGTTCAAAAATTCATATAGTTCGGCTGACGATATCCACACTTGATCATTTGATATTAGCAATAGGCTTTTTAAAATTGCTGTTTTTTTTTTTTGAAAAATTTCCAAAATTCAAAACATTTGCGTACATACATATATTCTATATTTATGTTCATATTATGTGTTTTCCAACAAAAATTTAAAATATTTCATATAGCATAAATTTTAATATTAGTAAATAAACATTCTCGCATTATGATGCGCCGCTAGTGTATAAATAGGCGGAAAAATTAAAATTTCAGAAATAAAAAAAAATAAATTGTTTATTTTTATAAAATTTTTAAATTAAAATAACAAATTTTCTAATTTAACAATTGTTATTGTAAAATTTAATAAAATATTTAATTATTTATAATTATTAAAATAACAAAGAAAAAAACCTGCATTATAAATATTTGTGAAAATACAAAGAATAAGAACAAAACACGAACACTACAATGAATAACTTAATAATATCATCAATAATATTTTATTTTATTTTATTAAAATTCAATTATATTGAAACATCAATAATACATCCAAATAAAACAATTTTAACTACAGTTAAAGAAGGTTTTATTATACATTTAAATACAACAAAAGAAATAAAAATTGGAAAATGTTATTATCAAATTGGTGGTAAGTTTATAAGTTAACCTACATAATATATAAAAAAATTTTGATTAACTAAATAATATTTATATTTTAAATATGTATGGATAGGTGCATATGTGTAAGAAATATCTTTATATTTCCATGTATAACAGATAGTGAAAATATGTTTAAAAAAAATTAATTTTTGAAATATCCTTTTGCATTTGAAAGTTTTATGCTGTTTTTTTTAGATTTTAAATATTTGTGGTAAGTGGAAAAAAAAATTTTCAGCAAATGCCTTCACAGTAGCTGTGTTCGAGGAAGAATAAAGAAAAATTTAGTGCAACCGTTCCGAACGTAATTTTTGATTACTCTATTACGAATATTCGGAGCAGAATTTTAGTAATTCGGAATTAACATTATGATATTCGTAATTTTCCAAATTTCAGGTCTACAAACGAAATTCATGATAAAGCTGATTAGGTATTAAAAAGTTACTTATGAATTTAAAAAGTTAGCATTTAATTTTGGTTGTAGTGTGTTAGCAGACAAATTTTTATAGCTTCTTATGGCATTCTTATAATTGGTTGTATTGCGTTATGACAGTATTAAAAACAGAATCAACACCACATAAGCTTACTGTATATTTGATATTTTATATATTTGACACTTTTGTTGTACATTAGGTTTGTTGCAGTTCTCTAATTCATACTGTATAAATTTTTGATAGATTTATTTTGCATTTATTAAAGTATATAATTATATATTATTAGAATGAGTATTACCCCGAATTCCTATACCTTAATTGATTTTACTATGTAGAAGACTGTAATAAATAGTATACATTGAAGCTATCTAATACTCTACTTACCCTACTAGATATTTTTCTAAAAATACCTGCAGTTTTACTAATTCTCATTAATAAATATTTTATGTGTAAGTTTCAATTCGGATTATCATCGATTATTATACCTAGATATTTGAAAATGCTTTCCTTTTTAATTCCTTGGTTATTGTATTTTATTATTTGCCTTTAACAAAATGTATTTTGTTTTATCTACGTTAACTGTCAATTTATGTTGACAAATCCATGTATAAATAACATTCACATCTTTTGCAATAGCTTTTTGTATAGAGTGCAATATAAAAAAGTCAGCATATAAAAAAGTATTGCCATTTAATTTTAAATCATAAAAGCAAGAAATTAACAAGAAAAATGTAGTAACTTCAATAAATACAATAACAAAAACAAAAAATTACACAATATTTACATTTAGAGAGCGCTCGTGCGAGTACGGTTGTAAGAGAGTGTAATTTATAGGAGTATTATTTGACATAAAATGTTAATATGTCTCATTGCAGTTAATTAAATTTTTATAAAAATTTAAAATCCAAAAAACTTAAAAATTTTTAAAATTACAAAAAATTTCTTTACTTATTCGAAAAGTAACTTTATTAATGTTCGCAGATACGACTGCATCTAATTTCTTTTTAAAACATTAGTTTAACATTAATTTAATGCTATATTTCAGATATGTACATTCGATACCAAACAATATATAAATCCATTAACATAACAATTCAAGCTTCCCATACGTTTAAAATTCACAAATGTGGCTAGTATCATAGTGAAAAAATGTGAATTTTCTCATTGTAACATCACCGCATAGGCATATATTGTGTTACAGTTGAAATACTTTCAAAATCAGCATTTTAATGTACATATGTACATTATTTTGGGATCGCAAATACCAAATGATTGAGAAGCATGACAGAGATTCATGAAACATAACATGACTATTTAAAATTTATCGAAAAAATTAACTTGTTAACTAATTATTTTAACCAATTTGTAGATATTATCTAACATATTATTTTAAAAGTCATATTTGCTTATAATATTAACATATCAATATTTTGACCCTTTCAACGCACCCTATATTATACGATATTATGTATTTACTAGAAGCAATAAATACCGTATCTCTACTAAAGCCACTTAGTCTATGAATTTGTTTTTTTTTTACATAAACTATTAAGTAATTAAATTTGATTATCACTTATCAATTAATAAATAATTTTAGTTTTCAGATTTTATTAGACGACAAATTAAAATTTATATTGATCGTATATATGATTAGGATTAAAATTAAATCTATTACAACCATAATTGATATTATAGCATAATTAAAAAAAAAAACCTCTTAAAATTTCATATCAATCTATTTGAAGTGTTAGGGCACAGCGTGGCGTTAACATAATTGTCAACTTGCTCCAATATTTTAATTGTTATATAGATAGCTATTTAAAATAACGACTTCCAATTTTATAGACTTAAGTACTTATAAATATTCCACTATCTATTAAATCATCGTATAACAAAATTTTATGATATGTTAATATCATTATTCATGTTTAAAGATGGTATTTATTATGATAATTCCGAATTATATAAGTTTTAGTAAGATTTTAAGTACCTGTAAATTTTAAGTGCTCTGTATGGTAAATACAAGGTTGTGTATTAACATAAGTGGCTTAGTAACAGCCACTTATATTAATATACGAATAATAATACTCTTTTCAAGAATATACGCCACTAATTAAATGCTTACAATTAAATACACATAAAATTTTTTTCTTTTTCTTTATGAATATAGAACAGGAAAAAGTTGAAATCGATTTGAATGCCAAAGAACCAAAAAAACTGGAATCCGGTGAATTAATATTACCATATTCAAAAAAGAAATGTGGTATTAGAGTTGACAATGTGTCACATACATCATCTGATAAATGGACATTATTAGCTAAAACAATTCCAGATGATTCAACTATACTAGATAGTGTAATGGTACAAGTACACCAACAACCAAAATTAAATTTTCAAACAATATTTAAACATGAATTAGGTACAGCTTCAATAAAATGTTCAAACACAAAAATAAGTAATGAACCTACCTACTGTAAAATGTACAATGAAAAAAATAAAATCTTATTGAATTCATGCAAAGAGAGCTTATCAATTGTTGTACGAAATAAAACATCAATAAAATGTAACACTTTAACATGGGCTGTCTTTTCTCAAAGTAAAGAAACAATTCTAATTGAACCAATTATAAAAAATGTAAATGTTGCAAAAGGAAATTTAACTGAAAATAATGATTATATAATAATGAATTGTCAACTTTCTGGATTAACTGGCCCCTGTAAAGCAGAATATCCTGATGGTTTAAAAAGTGTTTTTATTACTGATGGTTTATTAAGCGGGCGTTTATCAACTTTAGATACAAGGTAGTAATTTTATTTATTTTTTTTAAATTGTACTTTAAGGATTAAAAAATTTTGAAAGCCGTTATGAAAGTGTATAAAAATATTATAAAATGTATAACAGTTTTCATATCTTAGTTTATAAGTTTTTCTTTTATTTTATATACTAAAATTCACATATGAAGTTGGAAACTGCATGGTTTTAGTTTATCTAAACTTAAACTAAAAATAATTCCATTAGCATACATTATTCAGTATAACACTTCAGGCATATAACATTTCTAAAACCTAACTACTGCTATAAGAAGAATTAATTTACAGAAAAAGTTATTCACATTCATCCCGTTAGATGTCTTAATATTTTTCTTTGGAAATAGATGTCGAATACTTAATATTTAAATTTATGTATTAGTTTTTAGTCTTATACTTGCACCAAAAGTGTAATATAAAACATTGACCTATTTACCAACTATACTTCCTACTACTCCGGTAATATTTCAAAGTTCTAAGAATCAAATAAATTCAAAAATAATGGAAGCTTACTAATCAATTATACTTTGATAAAAATATTTTCTTGTTCTTGTCATATTAAACATTTTAAACATTGGAAAACTATTAATAGACGTGGTTAGGAGCTATTCCGTTTCAATATGCAAAATCTCTTTAAAATTCTATCAAATTTCTGGAAAAAGTCAATATAAACACAAAAATATATTAACTCAAATTTTATTTTAATTTAATAATATTTTGTTTTTGTAGCATTTCAACTGGTAAATGTGTTCTTGAAATCAAAAAACCATTACAATCAGATGAAATTGGTATTTGGACTATATCACGTGAGGATCAAGGAAGATCAACAGGTTGTATGTTTTATGCTGGTGACGATCAAACAAAATTAATAAAAAAAGCTGTTGAAAAAATTGAACCAATGCAATATAGAGAAATTATTAATAAAACACAAACATTCGATATAAAATGTAAAGCACCATTCCCATTGGAAATATGTTATTTAGTTGATCCAAATAATGTTATACATTTTCCGGATAATTTTCGATTTGATAAAAGTAAAACAATGGGCTATTGTGATTTTACAATGAAAGTAGCACCAGGTGAATATATTTGTGGATTAAGTAACATTAATCTTTACAAAGATGAAATACGATATAAGCATATTGTAAGTATTATACAAATACTGTTACAGGATATATATGTATAAAATGTATATAACGTAATATAATTTTTCAGGTACATGTTGTTGAAGATATTGGTGAAGTAGTTACACCATTGGCCAAAGTAGATCTTGGACAAACAATACAACTTTTATGTCGTATACCATTTGATGTAATATCACATTGTGCCTTTATTGATCCAATGAGAAATGTTTATTACATATCAAATTATTTTAAACAGCGTAAAGATAGGTATAAAAACTAAAATTCTATTAATTGGATAAATTTATTCAATTATTATACATTAATATAGTCGTATTACATATTATGGTAATGGTCTTGAACAAGGTCACTGTGGAATTCGAATTGAAAATATAATAGAAGATGATATTGGAAATTGGAAATGTCAAATTAAATCTGGTTATAATAGACATTCATCATTTGATATTCAAATTGAATTGTTATATCGTAAGATTTTATGCTTCATTTTAATTAAAATTTATTTTATTTAAATTATATAATTAATGACATTATCATTATAAATATTTAAACAATACTTTATAAATTTCATATTGATAATTTCTTTCATTTGTTTTAGGTTTAAGCGAAGCTTCTACAATTGGTTTAGCAGTTGGTGCTGTTGTTATTTTAGGAACATTTTTAATATCAGCTGGATACCTTTATAGACGAAAACAAATTTTAAGTCGTGAAAATTCAGCAAATGAAACATTAGAAATGGCTGGAAGAAGTAATAATGAAGATAGGCACACTAGACGTGAAAGTGAAGAAAGTTTTACAAGTAAAGAAAGTTAGGAAATTCTAAAATCATTGTAAAGGACACTCAACAAATTTGAACTATAATTATGTACAATAAAAATATATGTATAATTAAACAATTTTATAAATGTATTGTAATTAAATATATATTTTATATGTACGTGTTAATGAGCTAAAATTAATTATTTTTGTCATTATATTAATATTAGCAAGTATGAAGCGAGTTTTTGTGTAAATATATAATAGAAAGAATGTTAAATAAATAATTTTTAATATATGTATATACATATATAAAGTGTGTGAAGTTAACAAGCAATAAAACTGATTTCTTTTTACAATGTTCAATTAAATTATTTACTAATTATTTATTATTTAATGTACAATTTTATTTAAAATCCAAAGTGTAGCTATAATAATTATTATGAGTATTATTGCGCCATATACACAATTTCATTCAAGAAATTTCAGTCTCTTTGTTAGTCTTATAGGGCCCCAGATATATTATAACCTGTCCTGAATATTATTTGCCTATATATTGAATTTTTTAATAAAGGTATTTACTAAAAATTTTAATAATCTTATGTAGTATAACAATTCTTAATTATTATTAATTCATAATTAATCAAATGCTAACCCAAATTTTATTATTCATATATTCTTATACATAACCATATAGTAAGTTTTTAGTAAATTACTTAAAAACTGATAATAATTTTAATTAAAAATTTTTTTTTGCTGGCAAATCTGTTAAAAATACATGGAAAATTTTATATTTATGTATATTTCCATTTTGGTTGTTGTTAAGCGTTATTTATCTTGCACTTTAACATTTAATATTTTTATAAAATTTAAAATTTTTATTTACTTTTAATAACTTAAAACTTATAATTACCTACCATATGAAATTTAATGACAATAAATGAATAATAAAAATAAAAGATATTTGTTTTATATTTTATAATCTCTTAATTAATAAAATTATGCACGTATGGTACGTGTAAATTTACATAATATCAAAAATGTAAATATATGTACATAATACGTAAATTTAAATGCACAGTACTACTACTTAGCACTACAAATGTAGAATTTAAAATATCAATGGAAAAATATTTTGCTTGCCTTTTCTCACTTTTTTTTTTGTTCGATAATTTTAAAATGAAATTGTATGTTGATTTCTTTTAAAGCACATTAAATTGAAACTGCACATTATTAGTAAACTGAAATTACAATACTGCCAGTTGTGTAAAAATCTTGAAAGTTCGTATTTTTAGCATAAAAAATTTCATCGAGAGCAACGACATATTGTGTATACAAAATTTTCATATAAGAAATTGAGGTGAAACTAGATTTATTATATAGTTAAGCTGATGATATCACTGGAAATAAGAGCACTCCTAATAAATACTCGTATTATGGCATATTTACAAAAACTATTATATTATATAATATTCTTATTACATTACATAAAAGTAGAATAAGTAAATGGCTTCAAATTTATATGTTTTAGGTATATACATTACGAATTGATTCTTAAATATAAGATTGTGATTTAAAAGCATGATGCATAATCTGAAATACTGAATCTACATATATATTTTACAAAATTTTCGAAATAGGACTATAGATAGAATGGCACATAAATTTTTTTTAATATAAATCTTAACACTGGCAACTCTTTAAAATAATTCATATGTATATAATATAATGTCACTCAATCTCTATCAGTATAGTCTTTATCATATATTTCGTTAATCGATCGTTATATTATTTTATTCAATATTAAACAATTTTCTAATTTCTGTTATTTTTAAAAAAAATAAAAAATCACTCATAAACAAACACAAGTGAGATCATTTTTAATAGAGAACAGAGAACTAAAGTATTAGCTCTCTCCCTTATCTATAATTTAATCAGCTTTTATTATCTATTATTGAAGGTTTTTTTATTTAATGTTGCCATACCAATATTGAATTTTAAATGTGTAGCACTTTGGCGGATAGATAGCTCACCGTTATAGTTCAGTATCATGAACAGATAGCTGATAAAATCGATTAATACATTGAACAAAAAGTGTTTTTTTTTTTTTTTTTGAGAGTGGTTAAAAAGTATTTTTTGCACTACAAAATCTATTGAAAATTTCGTGTATCGTGCGATAATTTATATATTATTATTTACTACGATTATATTTATCCATATATATGTATTAATTATTATTCAATATAGCTGAAATGTCACAAACAATTCATCTTGAAAATTTAATGTTTGAAAATTAGTTTTGAATTTAATTCGTTCGTGTTCGTGAATTTTATTTCGAATATTTATAACGATCATTAGTAAAAGAACTTACATAGAATGTTAATTGAGTTATAGTTTTGTTATGGCAACTCTTTTTCATATACATTAATAGAGTCACATTAAATTAACAATGCACAACACAAAAAATATTTAGTAAATTAAATAAAAAAACCGATTGTCAAATGAGGGGGAGGGAAGTATTTCACCAGTAATCACTATAAAAGAATAATTTCAACCCGTTTTCAGCGAAAAATAAATTTTGTAAGCATAACTTTAATTTTATAAAGCAATTAAAGTGGCTAAACTAAAGCTTCTAGTTATTAAAATTAAAACTATTGATTTTGTCAGTTTTAGCTTGCCTCCCTAAGTTCTATAAAATATAGGAAATTTCACGCTATTCCGATAATTTAAAGAGGGAGAGTTTCAGGTTGTAAATTTTTTTAAATTACTCATGTTAACGGTCCTTACGTATATATTACAGTATTTTATGTTAGTATGTCAAACTATATTTGTATAATATGGAAATTTCGTTTCGGTTAATATTGTTTAGGAATTATTTCAATCCGCCGTTAAAGAGTAATTCGAATAAACTCAATGAATTGAAAAAAATTACTCAAATATTTATGACAATATAACATGCACATATACCACTGTGTATATATTATATACAAATATGTACATATGCTTATAAATATGCAAATGTTATACTTAACCAAGCTATGCAATGACTTTGACTTATTAGTAAGTACAGTTTAGAGTATATCGTTCATAGGCGTAAACGTGTAATCTTTAAAAGTATTAGAAGCGTAATATTGATAAACTTTCGTTTTGTATTTTTTGCTTTTTTTATTTCCAGTTTAGTTTTATTTTAATATTGTGACTGACAAGCGAAAAGTGATACTAGAACTAAAATAATAAGTTAATTACGATATATGTATACAATAAAAATAAAGTAAACACTATGTTGCATAATGAGGAGATCAAGAAACGTATCATGTGTGTTGGAATGTGTGTTTTAGATATTGTTCATGTTTGCGAAAAATTTCCCGTGGAAGATACTGATAAAAGGTAAAATTAAACAATAGGGAGTCATATATGTGCACTTATATATTATTTAAGCATGTTATGTGTAGAAACATGATGTACCTAGCCAAAATACTCACAATGAATACATATTTACTTTCATTCATTAAAATTTTGTACGTACGATCTCATTTTACAGTCAATTTCTGTAAAAAATTGTTATTGTTTCCTAATCTATTATTATTGTTTTGTGCAGAAAAAATTCATTTTTTTTGTATTGTGGCATTAAATTACAATAAATAATGTTTGGGTGTTTTTGAAAGTTTTCTTCTCTGTAAAACATTGCATGTTTTAAATTGCATAGTGCAGTGTTTAACAGTATTCAAAACTTTGTGAAAGTAACCAATGATTGATAATTTACAAGCATATTGTACCATTGTAGCGTAATGGTCGCTTGAATTATTTCTAGAACAGGTTCATATTTCTTCATACACACATAATGCTTGTTCTTAGTTTGGCAGGCAATGAGACTTTAATTATCATGAGGCTCATATAAACTCTATAACAAATTGAAAATATTCAATAATTTGTTTTTTATTTTCAGATGCTTGCGAGGTCATTGGCAAAGAGGTGGCAATGCATCAAACAATTGTTCAGTTTTACGTCAGTTAGGTGCTGAATGTGAATTTTTAGGAATGTTAAGTAATTCTAAAGGATTTCAATTTTTAAAAGAAGATTGTCATCAAAGGTTGATACACATTGAAAATTGTCCCAATATTGATATAGATCCTCCATTTTCATCCGTAATATTAAATGAAGAAAATAGTTCACGTACAATAATACATTCAAATCCAAATTATCCAATATTAAAATACGAACATTTCGAAAATATTGATTTGAGTTTATATAAATGGATTCACTTTGAGGTAATTATAATATTATTTATCATAAAAATATTCAAAATAATTGTTATACGTATTTACATGTATACATACATATGTGTACATATTTATTTTAAATTTTTTTTCAATATAATATACATAGCATAATCTTTAAGTAAATAAATAAGCTGTCATTATATAGGGTCGTAATCCTGAGGAAACCACACGTATGATAAAAAAAATTGTAGAATACAATAAAATTGCCAAACCAGAAGACCATATTAAAATTTCAGTAGAGCTTGAAAAATTAAAACCCGAATTATTAGTATTAACAGATCAAGCTGATGTTGTATTTATGGCCAAAGATTTAGCAATATTTTTCAACTTTTTTACACCAAAAGAAGCTGTTTTTGGATTAAGGAATATGATTTCAAACAAGTGAATGAAATTTATTTTCTTTAAATTTAATACTTAAATTTTTCTTATTTTTTTAGAAATAACATTATAATTTGTACTTGGAGCTCTGAAGGCTCAGCAGTATTAGATTCAACAAATAATTACGAAATCATACCAGCTTTTCCACCAGATAATATTATTGACACATTAGGTGCTGGTGATAGTTTTTGTGCTGCTGCAATTTATGCTTTAAGTAATGGTGAAAATTGTTTTAAATCTGTAGAATTTGGTAATCGTATTGCCGGGTTCAAACTATCTTTTTATGGATATGATAAAATATCTGAATTTAATAAAAGCTAATTTATAAAAAAGAGGATCTATTATCTTCAATTATTTATATAACATATTATGTATATCTGCATATTAGTTTTATTATAGACAACTGGATAAAAAACATTATTTTTTCTCTTAACCCAATAAGTTATGCAAACTTAATACAAGCGCCTTAATTCTGCAAGCTTTAACCGCTAAAAGTTTACTTTGTGTTTTACGATAATTAAATATAAAAAATATAAAGCAGATTTCAAGGTAAATTTCAAACAAAGTTTAACCTGATAGATAAATTTTCATATATTTAATAAATTTTTTATTAAAGTTATAAACATAATTAGAATACAAATATCCACTTCACAATTTAACAACTGCAAAGATATTTTTAATTGCGCCGAATGAAACGTAATTAATAGGCAAAGCGGCACTTTGAAATTTGACAATTTCCAAATTTTTTTATAATGAAGCAAAACAACGATTTATATCTGCTGTCAAGTCCTATACTTTAATAAGCAGCAAATTCAAAATTAGAAAATACATATAACAATTTAGAAATTTTAGCTTGAAGTTCTATTTTTATTCATAATATGCTTTATTTAATTACATTAAAGGATATTGTAATGCATTTATGGTTCCTGAAGGTGAAATCAGAACAAGAGCAATTTTCCGTTGCAGATTACGCCAGAATTAACGCACGCAAGAATGAACGCCAATACGCACGTTGCAGATTGGCCAAAATTAAGCGGTAATCCCAATTTTCCTTTAGTATAAATGAAGCAATTAAACGAAAAATTTTTGGGGCGCACGTGAATAGCTAATCCAAACAATATTTTTTCCCATTTTTTCCTTAAATATGTTGTTTATTAGAAATACTTAAATTTCCATAAGTTTATTAAATTATTGCTTTTTGTATTAAAAATTTTGTTTTAAATCAAATATTAAAATATTTTCACTTAAAAAAACGTCATATGCGCTACCCATATGTAAACAGCAAAACGTTTTTGGTTTTATTTTGACAAACTGTCAAAACTTAAAATTGGCGCTTCGAATAAAGGGAAATTTATTTTATACGTAATTGTAAAATGTAAACAGTTCACATTTGTAATTTGAAATAGTTTGTTAAATGTAAAACAATATAAAAAGACATTGGTTATAAAACTGCAAAATAAAACTGTTCTGCTAAGTAAAATTAATTTAATGGAAGTCATGGATGATTTTTTTGGTGACAATGAAGACTTTGAAAATTTTTCGCTTGAAAGTGTTTCTAGCAACGAGATAGGTAGGTAAAGTTGCCCATATAAATGTATTTAGTATTAATACTAAAAATCTTAAAGATTCTCAATACATTAAATGTTTGAAGGAAAATTTTGGACACAACAACTTTCGACCAATGCAGTGGAAAGTTATCTCTTCTGTAATGCTCGATAAAAGAGATAATTGTGTAGTAATGGCAACAGGATATGGAAAATCTTTGTGCTACCAATTCGTTTCAGTGTATTTAAATACAATTACTGTAGTTGTATCTCCATTAATATCCTTAATGGAGGATCAAGTTCTCTCATTAACTATTTCAAACATAAAATCATGCCTTCTAGGTTCAGCACAAAAAACCAAATCGATATTAGATGATGTTTTAGAATTCAAATATAATTTAGTTTATTGCACTCCAGAATTTTTAACTGGTTCGTTGGGCCGTGAATTTTTATTAAAGCTTAGTCCGAAATTATCATTAATTGCGATAGATGAAGCACACTGCATTAGCAAGTGGGGTCACGATTTCCGTTCAGCTTTTAAAAGTTTAAGCTTCATTAAATCATGCGTACCAGATGTACCTATTTTGGCAATGACTGCTACAGCAACGGAAAAAGTTCGAACTGATATTTGTACTATACTAAAGTTAAAAAACCCTCAAATGGTATGTACGGGATTTGACCGACCAAATTTAGAATTTAATGTTGCACGAAAAAGTTCTATTGGCGTTTGGAAAGATATTGAGCGGCTAATTAAATCAGTACAAACGGGAAGTATAATTATTTATTGTTTAACTAGAAAAAAGACTGAACAACTAAGTGAAATTATACAATCTAATGGCGTAAAATGTAAGCCATACCACGCAGGTTTATCTCTAAAAGAAAGGAAACGAGTACATGAAGATTTTGTCCATGATGAGATCAGAGTAATTGTTGCTACAGTAGCTTTCGGTATGGGTATTGATAAGCCGGATATTCGTGTTGTAATTCATTATGGAATTTCAAAAGATATGGAAAGTTACTATCAAGAAGTTGGAAGAGCGGGAAGAGATGGTTTACATTCGAAATGCTATGCGTTTTTTTCAGATCAAGATTGGAAATTACATGATCTCTTTATATCACAATCCACAGGTTCAACGATTTTCAAAGATATTCAAAGAGATCTTTCGTTAAAGATAAGAGAATACTGTAGTTTATCCACGTGCAGAAGAGATTTCATATTGAAGTACTTTGAAGGCGATAATGTAATTTTACCTAAGAAAAGAAAATATTGTTGTGATAATTGTAAAAATACTTCTGAAAGTGGAAACTTATCGGAAGTATATGAAGAAATCAATTCTGATGGCCTTTGTGACTTTACGGATGATACTCAAAATTTTTTGAGTGTCACTGAGTTAATGGGAGGATGGAAAGGTGTAACAAACATAATTCATTTTTTAAAAGGAAATAAAAGGAAATCTCTAGGAGAACGGTAAAAATAAATTGCAACTACAATTGTTTAGCTTTAAAATAACTAACTTAATGAAAATATTGTAGACTTTTTGAAAACAGCTTATTCGGCGTTGGTAAACACCGAACAGAAGATTACTATAAAATATTAGCAGACATGTTAGAATTCAATGGTTTTATAGTAAAAAGACCTCTTAGTGAGAAAAATCCTCAATCGAATTTCGGTCGAAATAAGCACTTAAAATTTATACATGTTTTAACAATGACGGACCGCGGTAAGAAATGGTTAGATACTAATCCAAAAGAAAAAGTTTTACTCAAGCCATCGAAATCAATGCACAAATTCTTCCAATTGAAAAGAAAAAATACAATGGGGTTACCTTGTTCCAACACGCAATCCGGTTCAAAAATTTTAAACTTAAATATGAAGAAAGAAGAAAAGAATTCAATTGAAAATCTAGTGTCAAAACTTTTTAAAGTTAGATCTTCATTCGCTAGTTCTTTAGATGTTATGCCCTATATGATAATATCTAATAAAGCTATCCATCAGTTAGCTCAAAAATGTCCTCTTAACTTAGATGAATTTAGAGCTGCTCAACTGGATGGTGTATCTGAAATAAAAGTTGTTAAATTTGGACCAGCTTTTATTAATTGCATTCTAGAATCAAAAAATTTTTTGTTGCCTTCTGAAGATATCAATTCCGAAAAAAAAGATAAAACTATAGCTGATTTGCTCGACGAGCATCCATTACCAAGTAAGTACTTTTTTTAGATCTATCATATTTCGTCTGATAATTAAAGTTAAATTTTGAAAAAACTTGTTTTACAATTCTAGATTTGAAACCTTTAACCACAACAATATTGCAAACTTTTGATTTATTTAAATCAGGCAAATCTATCCAAATAATTTCTCAAATTCGTCATATAACGGAATCTACAGTTTCCAATTATCTTAGTGAAGCAATCAAACACGGACTTATTTATGAAAAAAAGCAATTGAATAGATTGGGTGTTTCTGATACAAATTTTGATATAATAACTTCTACATATAGATCTCTTAATACAAAAAATCCTCAGTTGAAAATTCTTAAAGAAAAATGCCCCCCAACTATAACATACGACATGATTAAATTTGTATTGAATTATCATCAAATAAGAGATCATTTAAAAGAAAAAAATGTTACATTTAAAGATCCAGACGATAATATCAACAATAGTGAAATTTCAAGAAAAAATCAAGAAATTTCCAAAAATAACGATGTTTTAGATTGGAGTTTAGAAGATGATTTAGATTTTAATAAAATAGATAACGAAATATCAATAGCAAGTAATTCAATAAATCAAAACTCAATCAGTTTGGTGACAAACACTGAAGATAATAAAAATATTGAATATTTCAATGAAAATAGTGAATTAAATTGGGCTATTGATGCTTTACAAACAGAATATGGCAATGAAAAAGTGTCGGAAAACCTTAATCCAAATAAAATTATTACAATTGATACAGAACAGGTAGATAATATAACTAAAACTCAAATGATTCCTAAAAAACGGAAAATTAATGTTAAAAGAAAAGCATTTATTTATGAGGACGAAAGTAGTAGTAGCAGTGATGAAAACCCCAAAATAAAAGTAAGCCGTTAAAATATAAAAATATTTTTGTTAAAATTATTTAATTTTTATAAATATTTCCATATAAGAAGTTAAAAACTACTTTGAAATTCAATTATGTTAAATAATTTATTATCCAAGAAAATATAGCTTATTTAAATTCGATTACGAGTGTCCAATTAATTTTGCTTATGAATATATTCTCTTTTGAAATTCTAGTAGTCTATAATAATTTGGAATTAATAACAATTAGGAGGTAGTCCTAAAAATTGTATATTAATGATTATTGACAATCATAGCAAGTATTGACTTCTTAATTCATTTCTTGTTTTATCTTTCATTAATTGCCAAAATTAAAATGGAAAATATAAAATAAATATGTATGTTCTGAAATTTTTAATATATTTACTTACAATAAAATATAACTTGTCTGTGTTAAAAAAAATTGCTTCATTCAGTTGGTTTCAGGTTTTTATAATTCAAAAATTTTATTACTAGGCATATAAAAATAAAAAAATAAACTTCCTATATTTACTAAATTCTGCTTTAAAAATACGTTTCCAAAGATGTGCATTACAACATTTGTAGTTAAATAAATCGAATAAAACAACTTTAAATTTATTTTACTTGTTATTGATTTATTATGTAAAAATAACTGATTTTAGCATTTTCTAAAAGCAATGAATCATAAAATTAAGGCCGCTTTTCTACATAGAAATTTTTGCTACAATTTTTCTTTGAAAAATTTTATAAATTTTTTTTATCTAAAAACTTTAAAGCAATTTTGATTCTTTGATTTCTTATGTCTTTTAAAATTTATTTATGTTTAAAATATGCAAAAGCGGATAAATAAAATAAAATAATAAATAAACACAGCCCCAATCGGAAATTTACAAAATTACTCTTACAAAAGAAAAAAAATAAACAAAATACGTACCTACAAATTTTAAAATAAATATTTTTTGGGTTTTGCCCTCAAATAAAGGTTAAAATGAGAAATAATTTGGTCTATTAATTTTTTTTAATATAATATTAAATAATTTTGCATTTGTTTAAAAAAAAAAAAGCAATTTTACCTTTCATAACAATTTTAAATTAATTTAAGTTAATATTTGATAGAAATTAATCGTTATGGCACTCAAGGTTCGCTCTGATTTAAAAAGCCTAAATATATTTACCAAAAATAAATGTGGGACTAAAAATTGTAAATTTTGACTATTCTACACTAAATTGAACGCTCATTTAAGCTATTAAAATTATTATATAATTCATTTATTCTAATAAAACATAGTTTCAAATTAATATCAATTACGCGAAAGTTTTCTTTTTTTAATTTAAATCAAAACATCAAATATTTTACTTCAACTCAAACCTCAATTATTTAACTAAATATGCAAAACAGCATTGTTGTATCTATATGATCTTAAAAATAAAATTAAATTTTGGAATTTTTTTTATCATATTATTTTAAGAATTAATTAAGTAATAGCTATTTTGTTTTATCAATAACTCACTAATTACTATAATCTAAAAAGTAGTAAGATGTACTTAATAAAATACAATTTAAGATTTTAAGCCCTTAAATATAAATATTTTAGTACTTAACTTTAGCCTCTCATTGTTTCCAATAGAGTATTTTTTAAAGGCAACATTTCTTTGACCAAGAATTGAGATTCAGAATACTACTTTTGTAGCTAAAAGTTAATATTATTTTTTTTCTTTATGGTAAAATCATTAATAATGTATTATTTTCTAATAATACATAATTTTAATATCATACTATTTTCTACAAATATCGTAAAATTTTAAATAAATTTAAATATTAAAGCTTTCTAACTTATTTAAAGAAAAAACTAACACTAATAACTACAATACTTTTTTATGTTTCAACTAAAACATGAGTAAATAAACTATGTAATTTAATATCAACTAATTTATATTTTAAAGAATTTAATCCATCGGTATGATAACGTTTTGGTCCACTATGTAAATAATCCATACGTTCTTCATTTGGCTCTTCAATACCATGCCTAAGCATTATATATTTGCTGAAATCTGGTGAAAATCGACAAATTTCAATATTTTTTGCTTTTAATCGTCCATAAAAATCATCATCTTCACCACCCCAACCAGTAAATAAATTTGACATACCATTTACGAATTTAAATTGCTCAGTTCGTATTGCAACAGCTCCACCAAATAAACCTAAATATGGTAAATTATAACGAAATTTATCTAAACTTGAGCACATGTGACGTGGTTGCTCGGTACATGCATATATTTGACCTAAACTCATAGGCATTAAATCAACATCATGTAATATCAAACATGGAAATCCAAATTTTATAGCCATTTCATAACCAATGTTAAATAATTTTGCTCTATTAAATGGTTTTTCATCATATTGTTCAATTAAAAATATTCTATAATGTATACGTTGCTTACGTAAAAAATTATGCATATAAATTAAAAATGAATGCAATTGCTCTTCTCTTTTACGATATGGTATTATTATGGCACTACTAAATTTCGGACGGCATTCATCTGATGTATATTCACCACCTAAACGTATTTCATCGCTATTAAATAATTGTGAACGATATGTTTGCGTAAATAAATAATCATTATCAAATATAATATCATCATATTCGCACGCTATTAAACGTTCCAAAGAAATATTACTAGTTGTTTCAGGCACTAAATTATCATATACATCTTTTGCTTCAATATATTCATAATATTTTGCATAACGATCTGGCCATATTATTATAATAAGTATTATAGTTGCTGCAATATATCCTATTATTGATGGACTAGAAAATTTTTTTAACACTTTTCTTGTTAACATAATGAAAAAATGTAATAATATGCCCCTATTTTTGACTAATTTCGATCGGGGAAGACGTGAATCTACAATATTTCTATATCTAAAAGTAAACGGAAAAAGAAATTTAATTAAGAAGCAATAGTTACCGTTAAAAAAAAAAACTAAAAGCACTTTAAATTTTTATAGTGGCTTCGGTAATAAGCAATACTCTTACAAAAAATTTTCACATGCTTATCTTATCTGAAAACAAATTACGGTAAAATCCTAAAAATCAAAAGAGTTTAATAGATAAGCTTAATCTTCGGACATTATACAATCAGATAGTTTTGTTGAACAATGTAATACAATTAATTGAATAAGAAGATAAGAGTGCTAACACTTGATTTTTTCAGGTAGGTAGGTAGGTCGATAGGTACTTTGGAGGATATTACGAAAAAATAAAGCCAGTCTAACTTTACCTTTGAAATTTTAATTTTTTTTTTTTTTTTTGTCAAATATTTAATAAATACACAGAGCAGTTGTATGTAATAAATAATTTTAATATTATTACAAAAAAAACCAATCAATATGAAAAAGTAAGAACAAAATTTCTAGATGTTGGCACGTTTCCATCATTTTACTAATATTCAATTCATATACCATGCATATTTCGGCATTATACAAAATGGAAAATATTTAATTGATTTTAAAAATTTAATCAAACCAATTTACTAATAACAATTTATTTTTAGCAGTAAGGATATGGGACTGAGTACCTAAAAGCGTCATTATCGCAATCAATATAATTTTATTGATTTTACGTTGCATTTGTGAAGTTTACGAAAACAAAATTTGTACCATGACATTGTAAGAAATTTAAGCATATTACATTTAAATAGGATCCTATAATAAATAAGAATACGTATGTACCTACCCGTTAATGTAGAAAATTTCAATAAAAAACATTGTAAATAAGGAGTTACATATATCAACGTACTGAATATGCAAAAGCCCAAATAGGTAGGTTCCTTTAATTTTTCAAATTACATCAACTTCAAATTCGAATTTAGATTTAAAATGACTGTATAAGAGTTGCATAAACTCCACATTTAATTTTTTCACGGCACCCAAATTTTTTATGCCACATAGTTATATGTATGTATGTAAGTATATATAGCCGATCTTTTAATGAAAATTCTGATTAAAGTTGCCTTAAAAAATAATTTACCTCATAATCCATATTATAATTGACACCTAAAAATAAATTTTAAAAATTTTTTAAATCCTAAACTTTCAATAATTGAAAATTTTTGAATTTTACTGCTTTGAAGCTGTTTATTGATGTTTTTTGTATTAAGAAAAATCTGATTTTTGACAATTGAAATTAGCAGCCGCATTAACAAAAACAAGTACTACCATCGTTTACCAATTTCCCTATTTAACCAAGGAAAAATAATTTGACAAAACTGCATCATCTCAATGATAAAGATCTAATGATCAAAGTTCATGGTTTATATACAAATAATATATGTACTGATATAATTTCTTAACAATTTTCTATCTGGTTTATTTACTTAAGTTTATTTAATTAACACAACGAAAAAGAAATAAATAATTAATGAAATAAAAGTAAAACACTAGACTTTACAATAGCATTATTTTTGTTTACTTAATTCCTAGCTTATGTAACGCTTTCTATTAACTCGGCATACAGTGGTCGTATGCATTTGGTTTTAGATGTTTAAATTTTTAAATTACTTATTAATATTAAATTAATTCTAATATTATTTTTTCTTACTCCTTCTTTCTTTTTCCTTACCCTTCTATCTATAAATAATGACGGTTTTAGTTAGTGTAACTGACACCTACGTTAGTTGGCTAAAGTATATTTATTTTGCTATACTAAAATGATTGTACAAAGCAATCATCTGAAATAAAAAAACATGAATAAAGGTGATAATTAAACCAGTAGGAAAAATATAATATGCAATACAAAAAACTTCTCGCTTCAAAATTGCATTTTATTTATATAATATGATAATTGATTTTCCTCTGCGAGATTTCGCATTTTAGATTAAATTTATTTTTCTAGTATGTACTGCAGTGTGATATTGTATAGACTGCTGCAATAAACAGTTTTCAAATGACTTAAATTTTTATTTAATACTTACATATACTTTAAGTATTAAAAATTTTAGTTTTGTTTTATATTTGCTTTGAACGTTTGAATGATTTCTTAAGAAAAATGGACATAATTAAGAGCATAATTGAAAATCGAATTTAGATGACACTGTTACATGTAAGTTAAATTAATTTTACGTTAGGGCTACTAAAATAATTAATTAAAATAAATTAAAATAATGACGAAGTAAGCGCAACATTAAAGTTGTTAATTTAACAACATTAAAGTTATTAATAAGGATGCAATGATGCACTTCAAAATTTCACTACAACAAAATTATACTAACTGAAATGTAATATTTTTTATGACAAGATTTTTAAAATACATTTGATTATATTTAAGGCTTAAAAAAATAGATTTGCGAAGGATGTATAAATTTTTATGAAGTATCAATACCCAATTTCAATAATTTTTTTTTATTTCGAGTTATCTCAAAAGATTATCTGAACACATATAATTGCTTTATATGACCTGTAAAAACTAAAAAAAATATAGTCCTAGCTCTTAAGAGAGGTTGACAGTTCCTCATCGGGGAAAATTGAAGACTTTGTACATAATGTAAATACATTTGCATTCTTTTGGTAAATGCATTCCCGATTTCAGTGGCAATAACAATCAATTAAATCAATTTTTCCTAAATAAATTTTCCAGAATGATGGCAGTTTTTTGAAACTGTACCACCAATTTTCAAAAAACTTAAAAGGAATATGTATATTGGAAAAGAAATTATTGGATGATATGAGTGAACTTGACATAAAAAATATTGCTGTCAGTCGTGATTATGAAACAAACTGCAGAATTTTCAATTTCACACATTGAACAGCGTTAATTTTCGAATGTCATAACTGCTTCTGTTTGTTTTTTTTTTTTTTATTGTTGTACCTTGAACTTTCGAGATTTGTTGCCTTGTTTAAATTGTATTTTTATCATTTGTTTTTAAAAAAGTTATTATAATTTTATTAAAAAATGAATTTGGTAAACTTTAATATTACAAAAAATATTTGTCGTAGCTTAGGTAAATAAAAAATTAACGAATTGTACCTTAAAAAACTCATTATGTGGGGTTAATGACCTATTGTTATTTACAAAAATAATACGTACATACTTATGTACACAATGTAAATATGTAAACAAATACATAACAAAGTATTTTTTTTGCATTATTACATAAATATTTCGGTAAACCGTTGTGTTGTTTACATGCGTAACATACGTATGTTTTGCAATGCTTTAAGGAGTTAATAGTTCACTAATTCTGCACTGTACATACCTATTTATATTATATAATATTTTAAGACGACTTTCAAAATAAGCCCTAGCAAGCAATTAAAGTTTGTAACACCTACCTGGAATTCTTTAGCTCTTTAAATAAATCAATACATTATATACACAATTACAGTAAATCTACTTACTTACATCATGCTCAAACAATTCTTTTTTAAGTTTCAGTAACACGATTCAAAATTACCAGAGGATTATCTTCCAAGATGATACCCACTTCCACAAATGATGATGTGGATCATTTAAAAAACATTCGTGTAACAATTCCAAAACCTTACGTTTTTCATGTCGAATTGCATCGTCCTAATAAGTTAAATGCATTCAATAAGGAAATGTGGATGTAATATTTTTTAACAAATTACGTTACATTATCTACATTGTACATCGAATTGCTACATATTAAAAAAATTTTTTTTTTTTCATTTGAAAGGGAAATTAAACATTGCTTCGACTCTCTTAGCATAAATCCTGATTGTAGAGTAATTGTTTTATCAGCTGCAGGAAAAATATTCAGTGCTGGAATAGATTTAAGTAGCATGATGGTAATAGCTCAAGAACTAGCCGAAGTGGACGATGTTGCCCGAAAAGGAATTCTGATGAGCAGAATTGTTAAGACGTATCAGGTTAGGCGTATAGCTTCATGAAAATTTCTATGTGAATAAAAATGATATATTGCAGGATGTAATAAGCTCATTAGAAACATGTTCAAAACCCGTAATAGCAGCGATTCATTCAGCTTGTGTTGGGGCCGGAATTAATTTGGTTAGTGCCGCAGATATCCGCTACTGCACACAAGATGCTTGGTTCCAAATAAAAGAAGTTGAAATTGGTATGGCGGCCGATATTGGTGTATTGCAGAGACTGCCCAAAGCAGTTGGTAGTCAGAGTTTAGTTCGAGAACTTTGTTATACTGGAAGAAAATTTTTCAGCAAAGAAGCTTATGAATCTGGTATGGTGTCAAAAGTTTATGATACAAAAGATAAACTACTGGAAGGTGCCATATCAATGGCAGAATTGATTGCAGAAAAAAGCCCAGTAGCGGTTCAAGCTACAAAAAAGAATTTGGTTTATTCTTTAGAGCATACAAATCAGGAGGGGCTAGATCAAATTAGAGAAATAAACAGTTTACAATTGTTAAGTGAGGATTTTTTGGAAGCGACAACAGCCCAACTCACCAAATCCGACAAGCCAACTTTTTCGAAATTATAAAACTATAATGACAATAATGTGTTTGTATTTTTTATATGAATGTTATGAGAACATTATTACTTTTGCCAATGTTGCTTTTTATATATTACTTAATACATAATTTTTTACATACTACTGTAGCATTTGTGCAATTCTTTCCATGTTAACAGCATAAACCGTATGGGACGGTATTATATTTTTATCCTGTAACGCTCTATAAAGATCAGGAACTGTTATAAGTCTCTTTCTTATCGGATACCTTAACATATGTAAAATAAAGAAAATCTAATTATAATATGTTAAAGAAAATCATATAATACACTTACAATTCCTCACAAGCTGACAAAAATATGACATCATCATTATTTCTGCGTAATAAATGCGCAGAGGTGATTTCTCTGTCTAATTCCAATGGTGCGTCGTCGATTTTCTGTCTGGATATAGTGTTTTTTAAAAAAGGATCTTTGATTGGAGTTCCAATATCATAAAAATATTTTCCATCTGAATTAACTTTATAATGTTTCCGTTTAGTAATAACGGCTGTGAGTATATTTTTCAATAAAACTTGTACTGCCATTGCTATATATTCAGCCGCAACATCTTCAGCGTTTACTAAACCATTTTCCCAAGCACCTACAAGTAATCTGCCCATAATAAAACCAGTATCTGGCAAAAACAATTCTTGGGCACAATATCTTTGTTGCTGTACTGATTGATTGTTATAGTCCATGCAGTTAGGTGGTGGTTTAATAATTGTGTCCATGTTATCATCTTTTAGGAAATCGCAAAAGTCATAAGACTCAAATGATCTGTCATTTCCACTTCTTGAGCTTTTTTTACGTTTTTTACTTTCACTGGGACCGCTACTGCTATTTGTTTCTTGTTTAATTCTATTGCTAAACTTTGTAGAGTTTTGCAAAGCAACCGCTCCAGGTTGAAAAGCATCTATTTTATTCAATATAGCCAAAAGAAATTGATTATGCAAATGTATTTTGTCTGGCGTTAATAATTTTCGACAAGCGATATCAAACTCTTCTTTTGACCATTTTTTACGAAACCAAAACTTCATATTGTTAAAATACTTTTGAGTATTATCACCAAGAGCAACAGTTAAAGCATTTTTTGCAGTTAACACTTTTTCATTTAAATCACCCATTTCTTCGATTTTTAAATTCAGCAATAAAATTAAGTTTAATTTTATTTGTAAAATGTAAATCAATAACTTGTTTTAATAGTTTAATGAAAGTAGGAATGTCATAAAATATGACATATTTTATTAACGATGCCAGTTTCAACTGTCATGTTAATAAATTATTATTTTTTTTTTCAACTAGGTGTCAAAATAACATTAATCGCAAGCGAATTCGCGTAGAATTTTTCAAATTTCCTTTCATATTTTTGCGTTTTTTTTTAAAGACAGCGTCTCAATTTTTTAACTGAATTTTTCAACGTTATTGAATCTTTGTTTATATGCATTCTTTCATAGTTGTTATCTGTTTCATTCAACTATAAGTGCGATTAAAAATATATGAACATTAACATGGCGCTCTTCACATTATTGACATAAAAGTCTTTAATCCATTTTTTTTTAATTAATTCAATTCAAACAATTCAATATTGAGGCGAACCAAACCTTTTAATATATTATGTACATATATATTGCTTCATTAGGCTTATATGTAGGGAACGTTTTGTTCAAAAAATATTTGTATATCAAACAACACATAGAAATTTCTCTGTAAAATTTTGTTTTGCAGAAATACAGAATCAAAAAGCCTCAAGTGTGTCACTTAAAATCCACACAGTTGTATCACGAGACAACAGTGAATGAACAATTGCGTAATACATTTTAAGTTTCATAAAAGGGGAAATTTGATTTTCAAATTTCGCATTCCGCCATTAAAAATCCTAAAAATGTTTTATATTTTCAGAATCAAAACCAATTCAAATTACTATTAAAAATGTTTTGATGGAGAAGTATTCTGAGATAATCTAATTTCTTATTTAGGCGTACCGCCTAACCGGACTACCGTACCGGTAGTCTTTAATATCTTTAATATAGACTGGCAGTCTATGCTTTATACATATTGGTGAAAACCCATAGTTTCACCAATATTTGGATCGAATTATCCCTGTTATATTAATTTGAGCTGCTGTTTTTTATTTATATTAGCTTTATTATGTATTTACATTAGTTACCAAACCCAATGTCAAATTATCAGTTCATCTGTACTTTCATTTTAAGGTTTGTGTACTTTGGACGTTAATTGTTATTAAATGGCTCTGAACAGTTTTAAAACAACAAAACATATGTTTCGGAATCTAACAGGTAAAACTTTAATAAATATTAACTTTTAGAAAAAAAAAAGTTACAGTGAAACACTTTCTTGTTTCTTTAAAAATATACCTAGTTGAATTTTAGAAATCAGCATTAACTTAAAAACTTTTGTAATTAAGTAAAATTATGTAAAGCGGTATTCCATATATATTTTTTCTTGTTTTTAGCTTCGTTGACGACATCTGGAAGTTCCAAAATGTTATCCTCTAAAATAATTCCATCCTCGAGCGAAAAAGATGTCAAACACCTAAAGAATTTAGTTGTAACAGTTCCAAAACCATACATTTTTCATGTTGAATTGCATCGACCTGGAAAGTTGAATGCATTTAGTAAAGAAATGTGGATGTAAGTGTCTGATATTAAACAAGATAAAATATTTTAAATTAAAGTAACGTTTTAGGGAAATCAAAGAGTGCTTTGATTCTCTAAGTATAAATCCAGAGTGTCGAGTAATTATTCTATCAGGTGCCGGGAAAGTTTTTACTGCTGGAATTGATTTAAATAGTATGATAGCATTGGGTCAGGAACTTGGTGAAATCGAGGACTTTGCTAGAAAAGGATTATTAATGAGCCGGTTAATTAAATTATATCAGGTATATAAAATATCTTCGTTTTAGAAACTAGTATGCATAAGCTTAGATACCTGAAAAGTTGATAAACATGGTGTATTGTGAATTTGGGCTTAGCATTGATACATATGTACTTTTAGGATGCCATCACGTCATTAGAAGTATGTACAAAGCCAGTCATCGCTGCAGTCCATTCCGCTTGTATTGGAGCTGGAGTTGATTTAATTACTGCTGCCGATATCCGTTATAGTACACAAGATGCTTGGTTTCAAGTAAAAGAGGTTCAAATCGGTATGGCAGCTGATGTTGGTACCTTACAAAGATTACCAAAGGTTATTGGAAGTCAAAGTTTAGTTCGTGAACTTTGTTTTACCGGTCGAAAATTTTTGAGTCAAGAAGCTTTTAATTGTGGAATGATCTCTAACGTATTTGAAACAAAAGATGATTTATTGAAAGGTGCATTAGACTTGGCAGAATCTATAGCAGAGAAAAGTCCAGTGGCAGTTCAAGCTACAAAAAAGAGTCTAATTTATTCGCTGGATCATAGTAATCAAGAAGGTTTAGATCAAATTAGAGAAATGAATAGTTTACTTTTGTTAAGCGAAGATTTCTTGGAAGCAACAACAGCACAATTAACTAAATCTGAAAAAGCCATTTTCTCTAAGCTTTAAAAAGTAAATAATATCATAAAGTTTGTTACATTATAATACTACTAATTCATTTCATATTTTCTATGTACATTTAGCAACATGTGAAATTTCAAGTGATAATTATATTTTTTACGGGTTTACCTTTGCATTTTGAGTAGATTAGTTGCCCTAAATGTTTTGAAATGAAAATCTCTTCGAACAGTCAGTAAATATAATTTTCAAATTCAAAATGTGAAAAAATAAAACATTGATTCTAATTTATTCTGGTTGAAATTGCAATTTCCTTCAAATCGGACTTCAACAATTTTCCTTGTTATTTCTGATACATTTCAGATCGTCATTAGTCATTTCTACAAAATTAAGTAAAGCATTTACGATTTTGTAATTAAAAATAAAGTGGTCAAAAATACTCCCCTTTTTTTATCCATTCAAATCAACCCATCTTTTTAACATTTTGGTACCACTTTTCCTTTATGCAACCAGAAACTTTTAGTCAATTGCACTGAACTTTGCAACTCAGCAGTTCCGTCAATTGCACCGAATTTTTCAAAATACAAATTCACATTCTGATCGTAAATCTCGCTATTTTACTCAGAAAGTCAGAATAAAGTGAGTAGCTACCATATAGGTACTTGTATAATGTGATTTTCGAGTGAGAAGAATTATTTGTGTTGTGCATTGCGTGTCTCGGTATTTTTCTAGAATGCATACAAAATTTATTCACTATTGTTTTTAAAAGTGAGACGTTTAGTCGTTAATTTGAGAAAAAATGCAAAAATCCAATTGAAAAAATGAGTAATCTGAGAACTCTGATTTGAAAGTGAATAAAAAAGCGAGATACAAGTTCAGGCTATTAGGCAAGATAAATTTCATATCGATTTGAATTATAACATTAAACAGAATCGAAAAATATAATAAATCGACAGATTGATGCTCCTTAAATTCTCATGTATTCTTTCCACTTATGATTTGAATGTTTCAATTCCATTTTCAAAGCTCTGAGCAATAAATGTCAAATTGACAATAAAATAATAGCATGTATGAACTCAATTCTGCAGATTTAAGAAAATGTAGCTTTTTATAAAGAAGCTGTTGTCATTATCAATAGACATTGAATTGATGAAAACAAGAAACAAAAAATATTAGTCACTTTCACGGAAAAAAGACCCGTAGAGTAGAAAATCAATATGAAATTTCGTTTTTGTGGTGATTGTGACTGTCCAGATTGGGTGTTGTCAGAAATACATTGCACTTTGTCAACTCTAAGCGCGATAAAACTAAGAATACTAGCATCAGAAGTAGCCAAAAGTATCATTGATGGTTGCATGGGGAATGAAGAAAAAATCAAAGATATGTTTGAATCGAGTAATGATGGATTAAGATCAGCAAAGTCAGCTATTGCTTGTGTTCGATTTTTATTAATAAATGCATCAGAGAATAATGCAGATGAAGCAACATTTAATGAAGAATTACAGCAGCTAGGGTTACCAAAAGAGCATTCTTTATCAATATGTCGAGTGCATGCTGAAAGTGTTAATCCTATTAAGAAAAAATTATTGGAACAAAAATTTAATATTAACGAGCTGATTTCTGTATCGGGGACGTTGAATAAAGATGCAATAGATTGTTGTGCTTTGGAGTTTAAAATAAAAGATGAATTGCATGATGGAGTTCCAAAAGATACTACACATAAGATAAATATTCATAAAGCAGATGTCACAATACTACTGAATAATTTGAAAGAGATGAGGAACCTTATGGATTCCTATAATTTTGAAAGGAAATATGAGGGTAGTGAAAATAATTAGGTAGTTTAAAATATAATATAATTAAAAAAAAAATTATGTTGTTGATCTCAGTAAGTTTATTCGAAACTCGAAATCACATCCTAAATCTAAATAAAGGAATTACATATACCCTACATAATATAAATGTTTGATTTTGAGTCGAAAAAAAATACAGAAATTTTTTATTCGTTGAACAAGATGCAAAATATAATGGTGAAAATTCAAAATTGTTTTAAAATTGGACAAATTTATAGCGTTTTAAAATATTGTTTTCCTATACTTACGGTTAAATAGTAATTGCAATGTTATCTGATCATTTGTTTTTAGTATATAAATTCATATATGAACTTTGACTAAATTTTCACAACGGGGATGTAGCTCAGATGGTAGAGCGCTCGCTTAGCATGTGAGAGGTACGGGGATCGATGCCCCGCATCTCCAATATTTTTTTTTTTATGGTATTAACGAAAAATATTTTTGGTTATTATATTTATAAATTAAATAATAATCAAAGATAATTATTTAAAAATATATTTTGGCATATTAATTATGAATATATTTTCTTATCTACCTTATATTAAAAATTATTCAAAGTGAATTACAAATAGATTTTTCAGTTGAAATTTTTATTTCATTTTAAAAGAGAATAAAGTATTGTAATAAAATTATAATATAGAAACATTAAATTTATGCCTTTTAAATTAAATTTATGCGTTTACATCAAATCTGACTATAAATTGAAAAAAATTATTTGAAAAATAATTTATAGGACTTCTTAATTCTTATTGGCAATGATTTTTCAATCTCATTTGGAATAGTGAACAAAGGTGGAGGTACCTAGAAACAAGTAATTAAAAAGAATAATATAATTGATAAGTTATTTTGAATTATACATTTTTTAATTCTTCAATTTTCGCCTCCCTCGATGTGTATTCTTTTAAAATGAAGTCATTTTCAATCTCGTAATGAAAACGTGTATCATTCATTTTTATCATAACATTATCGACACGCAAAAAATATCTCAACAATACAAAAAAACCGGAGGGCATAACTCTCTAAAATATTAAAATATGTAGATTATATATGTATAACATTTTAAAATTTTGTGTTTTATTAGAAAATAAAACTTACAATTTTTACTGAAAGTGTTGCTACACCATGATCATGCAATTCATCTTCGAATAAAGTTAAATCATGATAAAATAATATTTTTTCTTGTTGCATTAATTTGAAAATATCTATTTTTTTATCAGTCTCTTCAACGCGAAATTTTTCATTTAGTGTACCTTGATAGTCAGTTGAAAATGTCCAATCAAATGGCTTAAATTTTTCTTGTAGGTGTTGCTCTGGCCTGCAGTAATTCATTATAAGTACAAATACATTTTTCTCTACAAGGTAACTTACCTAGATTCTTTCCATTCGTCTGCACAAGCCACTTGAATACTTTGTTTACCATTTTCAACTAATTTTAAAGCTTCTAATGGTGTAAAATACAATTCTGCTCCTGATTTATGAATCAAAGACATTTTATTTTTATGAAATACCATATCAGGCAAATGAGGTAATTCCAGAGAGTTGCGATATCTTTAAAATTAAATGAATACATGGCTACTTATTTATTATATGTGTTAAATTTTCTTTTTTATAAATTACGTGCACAATTCACATTGGTCTGGATCATCCTTGGAACATGCGTTTTCATTTCGAATGCAAACACTCTTCAATATGTGAGATTTACTATAACCAATAGTCCATTCCCCGAAAACTAATAGAAAAAAAGTTAATTTATAATTTAAAATAAGACTAAATTTTTTTTATTTACCAATGTTGTCAGAGTCCGTAGGAAGTCTAGTTACTTTACAATCTTCCTAAAATAAAAAAAACTTATTTTAAATATATATATTTAGTGAAAATATTAACGTTATTTACGTAAGCCATTTAATTTTTTGCTTAAATTTTCTAAACAGTATTTTAAGATTAGATTTATATTTATGTGTATAAAAAAATTTCGGTGGCAAATACTTTAGCTATTTTTGGTTCTTTTCAAGAACATGTAGAACTCTATTGCAAATTTTTAAAAACCCATGAATTTAAAATATGTTTATCAAAATAATTTAATAAACCAAATAAACAAAAATTGTCGGAAAAATAATTTGTGGAACTGAAATAGACACAGGCCAGGTATAAGAGTATATGTTATAATGTGTGTGTTTAGTAATATTTATTTGTGACAATTCATGCTTGTCATTTTCCCGGTGTCAATATAATGCACAATTAAATTATTTTGAGAATTCTTAACAATTTTCTACCGGTTAATTCCAATTGATGGGTTTACACACGGTGCTAGTTTATTGTTGTTTTAGTTTTTTTTGTTGTGAAATTTTTGTTTTATATTTTATTCCAAATTTTTTTGGTGGTGAATCTAAGAATCTTCTAAATTTTTTTGTAATTTTTTGAAAAAAAAATTTTGAGCTGTTAATCTTTAATATTTTAGTGTATAGATTGCAATTCCTTAAAACATTAATATCTGACATTAAGGAATAAAATGATTCTGTCTTATAAGATTGAATTGATTAAGTCTAATGGGTATGTGGCAACTAAAATTTAAAAACCTTAATATTTGTTGTGTAAACATCTTAATTTTTTTTTTCGGTTAGTTGTGCATTTTTTATTTGGTAACCCTGGTTAAATTACCGTTTACCGCTTCATTTCGAATGTTTACATTTTATTGCCAGAATCACGAATGATAGATATTTTTGTTATGTCAAGAACTAAAGCAATAGATTGTCAATTATCAATAGTAGCATGCTGTTGAAGAGAAAGAATAAGCCTAACAAAAATTTTTCTATTGCAATTTTAAGTTGTAATTATTCAAAAACATTTTGAATGATTTTAATCAACCGATTAGAAATATTGATATGTTTGATTCGTTGGATTTAATAACCAGAACTGTGTTCGGGGCTATAATATTTCATCATATAATTAACATTTAAAAACATACTTAATAATAACATTACTGAACAAATAGAGAAGTTGTGAATTTTACTGAGCATTAAACTGAATCGGAAATGCAAAAAAGTCAATTATTCTCCTTCATAATTTTTTTATAACAGTGGAAAAATTTGATATACTGAAAGATTATTGAAATATTGGAACATCTGCGTGTAATCAAATTAGAAAAAAATTACTTTTTAAAAAAATGGAAAATTGCAAAAAAAACAGAGGACCATGGACTAAAATTATTTTAGATGAAATAGCTTTAGAAGGTTTGGAAGGAATCACAATTGATGGTAAAACAATCATGTGCATTGTGTTTTGAATATTTATTTAATACATTTTTATGATTTTAGGACTTTGGTTCAGATTCGAGCAAGCTCTACATCTTCCCTATGAAACTCCAGATAATTTTAAACTATTAATATGGCAATTTTTAAAAAAGCAAAATGAAAGCCTTATCGAATTTTTTATATTACCTGTAGCAAAAGCCAAAATAAAAAATTGTCGCCGCTCAGATTTCGTTGATCCAGAACTAGGTTTTCCAGTTTTGCCTGTAACAATTTTTTATTATATTTATTTTTCAAGTGTAAAATCTTTTTTTTCAAGGATGAATGTCCATTCGATAGATCTGTTTATAAGAATATAAATGAAGGCAATATTCGTGGTTCTTGTGAACACTTTTATGAACGTAAAAAGATTCCAGTTGAAGCACTTTTCGACATGTCTTTAGAAGAAATAAAAAACAAGTACGTATAATATTGCTTTTTTGAAAAAAAATTTGTATGAAATTGAAATATGTAATAAAAATATAATTTTAGATATGGAGATACGTTAGTTATCGTTGCAAGTCAAGAATACCGTGAAAGTGTTCTTTTTCCAGAATATACTCAAAAAGTTACTGACGTTACCGCGGTGCAATACTGTGTTTTAGAAGCCATTGGACGAAGTCGGTTTAATGGCGAAGTTACTAGTGGAAAGCATTCTATTAGCACATATATAAAAGAATATCTTGATATTTTTTATGCAAAGTATAATAATTTAATCTAAAATACATGTTAAATACATGCAAATATATATATCAAAAGTAAATTGAACAAATGCATAAAATATTAAAAAAAATATGTTTTAGACTAAAATTGACATCTCATCAGTTGATTATAAAACAACCGTACATGGAAAGAGTCCAAGGAAGGATATCAAGCGGTTACCTTTTAACTCTTACCAGATTTTATAGAATATATAAAACTAGACCTGTAATTATAATTGAAACTTTATATAATGTACTTAAAATGCATCCAACAAAGACTGTTCATTTAGATACTTTGAAAAAAGGTCCACCATTCGATGGAATCAGTTTCAAAAAACTAACAAAATTACCCATTTTCACAAAACACTTTGAACTTGTTGTAAGTTATTACTTTAATGCAATGAATTTGTGAAGTTATTGTTCTTAAAATTATTTTTTTTTAATAAGCGTGTTCCGCAAAAAGATGTTGATATTGATATGAGTAAGCCAAAAAGTAAACGAGCTCGTACTGACACTATGGTGTTGGTCGTAAAGTTTAAAAATGAAAATATGGCTTTGGAAGATATCTTTGATTCTGCGAACAATGAAACATCAGAGGCTGAAAATATAGAATTTCTAAGTGAAAAGCATTGTTTTTTGGATATGTCTTTCCAAGAACAAGTTTATCGTTTTATAGCAAAACATGGTTCCACGGGCTGCAGTCAAATGCAGATAACACGTTATACGGCAACTAATAAATATTCCGTAAGGCAACTACTTAGAGCTTTTTTGAAAAAAGGATATATAAAAGAATATTCAACAGATGTTGGAAGACAGCGAGTTGTGATGTGAGTATTACAAAAGTGCTATAGTAAACCTATTTTTGCATTTATTTTTACGTATATTAAGGTACGTTACTTTTGACAATGCGAAGAACATGTCAAAAATTAAAGCGCCTTCTGCTCAAGAGATCAGAGAGGATTTAAAAATTGATGAAGAGGATGTGAGTTTATCTTCAAAACTATATTAAAGTTTATAAATTATTTCAAGTAAAATTTTAGTTGGTTTCAATGATGAATTCACCCGAAAAACTTGAACACTTTGAAGGAGAAGGACAACCAGATAAACTTAAATTAGATAAATTAAATCAAGTTATGTCTATATTAAAAGAGACAAACACTCCCTATCACTTCGTTGAAAATAAAATAATTTGCGACCCCAGGACCGCTCGACATAATCAAAGGATAAAATTAATTCTTGATGTATTGAGTAAAAGCTTTTTTGTGGAGAAAAATATTTTACGTAAACATATTATGTCTGAAGAGCAGAAGCTTGGCTACAAAGATCAAATTTGCTCAAAATCGCTGTACCGAATAATAAGATGGCTCAAAAGTAAAAATATGGCTAGATTTTATGAGTTATCATTGAAATATAATAAATATGTAAAAATTATATATTATGCGGCCCACATAAAACTGGAACCTCATTTTAGAATCTTACAGAGTGAAATTTTAAAACAAAAAAATATTTTATTAACAACACTGGAAGAACGCGAAATAAGACAGCAGCAAACTAAATCTAGCCAGAAAAAAGTTCATACACCAGTTATTCCTTACAAAGTTGTGCGAGAAACATTTTCGAAATCTCCAAAATTCTTAACAGCAAGATTTGTCCATGAATTCGTTCATTTTTTGGTGTATGAGCAAGATCGAAATGCGGGTCCGATTAAAGAATATGATAAAATCAAAGAAGTACTTACAAAATCTTCACCAAATTATAATTTAAATAATTTAGATAATGATCTTTCAGTTGGTTGTTATGATAATAGTTTGAGTTGGAAAATGTTTATACAACCTTTACCTATATACAAAGAAAAACCAACTGGATGGGCGTATCTAATGGATATATATTTAAGACTTCCTTTATCAATAATCGTTAAAATGTATCAGATTAGTAAATATTGTCATCCATTATTTGCGGAATATGTAAATGATCCAGTCAAACAACATTATTTAGTTACACAATTGCCAAAAGAATTACAGGAGTATTTGAATAATTTTCGTGTCAGTCGATCGCTAATTCAGGTATTAAAAAATATAAATTGGATTGGCTTAATTCAAGTAGGACATCGTGAATTAAAAGATTCACGAGAATGCTGGTTATATGTTAACCGAAAAGCAAAAATATTAGACACAACAATTTCAGATACTGGGTATCGTTACATATCTTCGGATAAAATATATAGTGAAGTAAACTTCACTTTTAATACACCTTCAGATGTACAAAATTATTGGAATACATTATATAAAATTTGTCTATCCACTAAATTAGGAGCGAAAATGGAATCGGGTATAGAACATAAGATTCTTTTAATGTGAAAGATATTTTTTGTTTATTTGTACTTTTATTTCAGAAAATTTAAAAAAAAGATTTGACGTAGATTTTTTGGGTCCAGTAGAATTTGATGAAGCAATCAAGAAAGATGTTGGTTATATACCGGGAGACAACAAGGGAGCGTCAGGGATCGATTCCAACTTATTTTCTCATTTACAAAGGAATTGGTCTTGGAGGGCTATAAAAAAGAATACAATCAAAACAACCACAAGAGCAAACAAAATACGTTTTTCTTCTCAAGCAGCGAAAATGGTAAACGACAAGCCCATAAAATTAAAACCTACTCAGAATATGCTTAAACTAAGATCAAAAAGACTCATTTTGAAAAAACAAATAAAACAAATAAAACATACAGCAAAAAAAAAAGGTGAATACGACAAAGTTGACAAGGAGGCAATAAATAAAATGTCATGTTTAAGAGTATCATGGTCAAAAGATGAAGATCGAATGTTAAAAATATGTCGGGCAGTTTATATATATTTGAGTGGATATATATCACAATTACAACGAGCTATTAATTCATATATTTTTCGAGACATCTTGCATTGGCACTTAAATTCTATAAATAAAACTTCAAGGGCCTGCCAACGTCGTTTACGCTATATATTACGGCACAGACCATCATCAGATGTAATGACATGGGTGCACGAATTAAAGCAAAATTCTGAGATATCTAAGCGTTTCGGAGTTAATGTTCTTATTAATTTACGTGATATGTATAAAAATGATGCCCAGTTTATTAATATATTGAAAGTACTTTATATTAAGATGGTTTATTATTTAAATCAAATTATACAAAACTTAAATGAAGTCATAGAATCAAAGAGTTTGTTACCAGACTCTTTGAATCATTTTAATTCAATGTATAATGAAATTGAAACCCCGGTTCCTGTTAATGATATAGCTCAGATTAGAGATTTTTCACTTAAACATTTGGATCCCCAAAATATAGAGGATATAGAAATTTCAACAATAAATTCTTTAATGCATAGTACTCTATGTTGTACTCGAGATAAAACATTATACAATATTCAAATATTTGAAGTTTATAAAAAATTTAAGGAAGATGTTTTAGCTAAAGCATACAAGAAAGCTCGTGATGACAATTTAGTTGTTCAATTGAAATTCAAATCTGGGGCATCAGGATCGAAGTTAGTACCGATTTCTGGTTCATCTCTGATTTTATCTGTAAAATATAAACAACAATTATATTTAGACATACCTTATGAAGCAATAAGCTTATGTTACCAGCAATTTGAATCATCATTGCAAAACTTCTTTGTCGTAAGTATAATTTTTGCAGATTGAATAGAAATTTTTTTTAAATGTGTTGATAAACTAATCAGCAATATCTTTTATATAATTAATAAATGACAAATATAAAATAAACATAATTAATAATTTTTTCATATTTTTACTTTAGGTCACACCAACTCCGTTTATTTTAAAAACCGTTGATGCTGGTGGATTCTATCATTTAATAGAACTATTAGCGTCAAATCAAGTAAATATTGAAATACAAATGCCACAAAAGATTTTGACAATTGATCCAAACCATAGTCCATCATTTGAAGAGGAAACGGAACGCATCATGGACCATTTTCATTCTTTGCTTGATAGTGCACCAAAAACTCAATACGTGAAATATTTTGAAGAAGAAAATAATCAAAATGCATCTGGCTCACGTATTAAATTTAATAAAGCAAATGAAAACTATAAAATAATATATAATCCTTATGATGTATTAGCAAAATTGCCAGATAATTATTATCATTTCTTCTGTGCCCTTGATAATTTAAATAAAATTATTGATTTAGATTTTTCTAGATTTAATATGGATACTTTTTGTCCATTTAATTGTATATTAAAGTATCCAGATTTGTTTGTTAACATTGAACGTATTGTAAATGAACGTAAGCATATAATTGAAGAATTAATTTATAATTCAGATATTGAAGATATAATAGAAAGTATAGTTATTTTAAATCAAAAAAACATAATGCAAGTTTTTGAACGATTGCAAAAGGTTTTAAGAGAACGTAATTTGAGTAATGATCAAAAAGATTTCGGTAAACCAAAAATTAATCAAAATAAAGCAAATGTATTAACATTGTCAAAAGAAATTTTGGATTATACAGATATTGATTTAGAGAATAAATTGGAGTTTGAATCGAGTATGATTAAAGAAGATAAAAATAAATCTCAAGATGTTTATGTTGTTAATTTACCGACCTTAAAACTTAAATATAATGAACACAAAGAAATTGACAAGGATTATGTTATATATAACGATTTAACAGTGCCTAAGCAAATAGTGAAAAACGCTATTTACAGGGATGAAATACTGAAGAAAGTACTGTCGTAAGTTAAATTTGCTTTTATTAATGAATAAAATGTGAAAGAAAATTTCTTTTACAATTTTTCATACTTACTTCTTTTTGCTTTTTTTAACTTATTAAAACCGTCGTAGCTTAATTATTAAAGTTATTATATTTAATGTTTTACATAACTATTAACAGATTTTCGCATTGGTGTCATAATGGAAATATTAAACAATTTTTTCAAAGTGCAACATTTAAAAGATTGTCTTCTAGAGAGCAAATTTTTACTGAAAATTTATTGAATTATTTGGAAAAGTTTGAAGTGGGTGTTAAAGCTTATGATTTGTTGGTATGTTTTAAGGCGTACAATAAAAGCTATTAAAACCTTTGTATAATTAATTTAACTTTTGTAGGAACATTTTAAAGATGAAAACATGCTAGTAAAAATTGTTTCAATATTACGAAAAAATTTTCTTGTTATGCGGGTGGGAGTAGAAAATTTTATTTACGTTCACAAAAATCATGTTGCTCCTTGGATTGTAAATTCCTACAATATAAAAAGACTGGATAAAGAATTTTTACAAGATTCGGAAGTTATAATAAAACGTCCCCATAGTTCAAATGATATAGACGAACCACCAATAAAAAAAGAGATAATAGAGAATGATGATTGTAAAAGATTGCCGAAACCCATTTATCCCTACCAAGCTGACGACTCCAGTGTTAAAATAAAAGAAGTTACCGTAAAGTATGTATCAATAGAAAAAAATTTTATTCATGAAGTTGAATAAATGAAAATTTATTAATAAAAATAAATTGATTTTTAGAGAAAAAGAAAATATAATCATTAGACCATATCCATGGATTCGAGTAAATGGTTCATTGAATCGTCGCGTTTTGGATAAATGGATTGGTGTTATTTTAACAGACTGTCTAACAAATACTGGACAAACTATATTGACTATATGTCAAAAATTTAATCAATTACATCCAATGAACTTAAGATGTTTGTTAGAAATTCTTGAAGATTTAAATTGTATCAAATTAAAAGTATTGAGGAAACACGTTAAAGTTACATTGTTCTCTAGTTACGAGGATATTTTAGTTGAAGAAGGTAAATTAAAAAATAAATTAAATGATTATATGTATTTTCGAATATATGTATGTATGGATATATTTTTAAAATTATAGAAGATGCAACGGAATTTTCTAGAATAGAAGAAACTTTCATTACTACTTTACCAAATGCTATGATAAATTTAAGTATTTTTATTGGTGAAAAAAAATATGGAATTGATTTTGTTTAATTGTTAAAAGCTCGACAAAAATTATTGTGTAGTTTTTTTTAATTTCTACTGTATGTATAATGATTTTATGTAATATTAAATTATTAAATTGCATAAAATTTTAATTTTTATATATGTATGTATGTATTTAAAAATGAATAAATACAATTATAAAAATTATTAGTTTAATGTGTTTTTTTTTATAATCAAGATAACGACAAAAAAATATTAAGAAAAAGTAAAAGTTAATAAATACAGCGGGGTATGGTGGGCGGCGGCTTCGAGGGTTATGAAGCGGTTCAGAGAGGAGAAGGTTCTCAAAATTTAGGACGATTCATGGGATGATTAAGGGGCTGATTGCTAGTAGCACATAGCTTCACGCGAAAAGTGTACGCCTAGTGATCTTGATTGATGGATGAATACTGGGTGAATTTTTTATTTCACCTCCTTTTTCTCTGGGTGGGCTTACCTGTCCGTTTTTTTAAGCTCTTGTTTCAGAAGAAATTTTTGAATTCGAGAATTACCGACAGGCTTCTTTTTTGGCCTAGTGCTTGGCGTCGTGTAGAAAGCGTGCACCTCTCAGCAACTAAATGTTTTCGAATAACAGCTTTAACATTAGTCTAGTCAACATTCAATTTTTAATGCCGAAAATAAGTTCTATTGAAGAAAAAAAGAATAATTTTAATTCAGCCAACAATATTGCTGTCACTTTATACCAAAGCTACAAGAAATCGGAAAAACTTCCCTTGGTTACTTGGACTTTTTTAACTTTTAAAAAAAATAATCTCTACTATGTTAATTTTACCATCAAAGCAATCATAAATTTTTAAAAACTCAAATTTTGATTTAAATGCGTTACTATATTGAATAAAAACTAATTTTTATTTTTTCTAATATTTTTCAAAAATTTATATTGTTTATTTCAATTTTAATAATTTCTTTTTAGAAAAAAAATTAAAAATTTCAAATACATATATTTTGCTGAAAGTAGTTTGTTTATATGGTGTAAAAGTTTTTCGTAAAGTAAAAATTGGCTAAACACGAAGCGAAGGTTCAGAAAGTTAAAAGAATTCCCATTATTCAAATCTGCTCTTAATGTTACGCAAACTGACTTACGTGCAAATCATAAGGTAAGCTTTTTAATAGAATTGTGGTTCATAAAAAAATGCATTTATGCACGTGTATTACGAAAACAAAATTGAATTGATAGGAGCATAAATTTAAAATTTTCTTCTTGCATATTCATTTTAATTCATAAGTTTCACTGCCAAGAAAGAAAGTTAAAAACTTAGACACTTGAAATAATGATATTGTAATTATTGCAATATCATATTTTATTACCTATTATAATTTATAAACTGAAATGTTATACATATCTAATACATATATAAATAAATTTATTCATTTACAATAGGGTTCTGTAAACGGATTGCTATTATATTCTGATTCTGATGCTGATCAAAAACTTAAATATTTTAAGTGAGTAGCTTTCTTATATATATTTGAACGTAATCATTAAGGTGAGTTATAATATTTATTTTACATATATTATTTGGTATGTATGTATATACATACATATATGCATCTTCCTTTATTACAAAATTATCTATTTTAAGTAATTAAATATTTTTTTAAATATTTTTTAGTAAACTATTCAAAGGTTCTGATATGAGTTCACAAAATTCTGATGGTAAGTAATAATTATTTTAATTTAAACTAAATATATACATACATATATGTATTTATTTTTAAATGCATTAAATTTTCTGCTTGGCTGAAGTATAATAATATCGTTACAGTAGTAATCAACTCCAGATTGAGAACGATATTAGTTCTTACATACATATGTATATGTATGTACATGTCATACATTTATAGTTTTAATTATTTTTATTATTTAAATTATTATTAGTATGTTTTGTTGTACACAGTACACATAACATTATGCATATAATATGTAAGTATGTGATATTACATATTATGCATATAATATGTAATATCTATTCTAACTCTACATACATTGTATTGTTTGTATTATATAGATTACAGTGATCGTAATTTAAGAATAGAAAATAAAGAGATTAAGACTAACGCAATTCATTCAAATTATATACCACCTACTGAAGGACAGCAAAATCAAGCGAAAGAGAAAACTTTACTTGAAATTGGTTTTAAAACAAATGATATATCGGGATGGGAGGAAATTAAGCAACCCCCAAAAGAAGACTTGTTAGAATTGTTAAATGATATGATAAAAAATTTTAAAAAAACTGACGTTAAAATTATGATAGGATCAAAAACATTCAACTGTCATATGATTGTTTTACAATGCTATTCTCAATTTTTTATGAAAATGAATAATGAACATTTTATAATTTTACCAGAAGAGCAGGTATTAAAACATTTTACTTTTTTGTGCTTTTTGTAGTAACTAAAGATTATGTAAATTTTAGGTTACAATTGAAGCATTTACTATGATTTACTGTTGGATGTTAACTAAAAAGCCAACAGTTAAACGTGAATTGATTTTAGAATTATTTAATGCAGCAACTTTTTTGTCAATAAAAGGAATTTTAGATCAATGTTGGGCATGTTTAGATGATGCTGTTAGATTTCGTGAAGATACAGCTTTTATGCTTTATTTAGAAGCAGGAAAATATAAAAATGATTTAAAAGATCAAATACAACAATTAATGTTAACAAGAATTTGTAAATTTTTCTTAACATTAGTTGCATCAAAAGAATTTTTGGAAATGAGTTTAAATGAAGTATGTTCATTACTTGAATCAAATACTATTGGAGTGTATTCTGAAACAGAGGTAAATACATTTATATATTATTTTTTTCGAGTAGATAGTATGTACATGATAATGTCGGCATTCCTTTAATTTAATTTTTAATATTTTTAACTTTTTAAGGTTTTAATGGCTGGTGTTCGTTGGTTACATTATGATTTTTCAAATCGACGGAAATATATTTCTGATGTAATAAAATGTGTTAGATTTGGTTTAATAGCACCATGGCAATTAGTTGAATTGAAAAGAAGTACAACATGCCACGAAATCCAACAAATTGTAGAAAATGTTGACGTACAAAACATGATTGATGATGGACTATCGTACGTACATATATATATATTTTTCAATAAATATTCACTTATTAATATTTATTTTATAAACAGTATTGTATTTAATTAATTATTATTTATATAATTTAGATACGTTACAACAAAATACTATTATGGTAATCGTGAAGATGAATTTCTTGAATGTCTTAAACGATTAAATTTATATGAACCAGTTGGAAGACAATGGATATGTGATAAAAGTTGGGCTGGTCATGAACATTGTTTGAATAAACAAATAATAACATATGAAAAATTTTTACAATATTTGGAATATATACGAAGTAAGGGTAAAGATTACTGGAAAGAATTGGAATTTAATAAACATGGACCATATGCTGATTATCATTTACAAGTACGTGCAAATGATACAAAATATTTTGATGATTATTGTAAATTCGAGAAAATTATGAAAAGTTAAATTATTATGTGAATTTATACACAAATATCCGCTTATACATAATTTATTGTTATGAAAAAAATCTAGATCTCATTAAATTTATTGTAATTAAATGAATTTTTTTTTCAATATTGAAAAGATATAATCTAAATAAATACACAGAATATGAAATTTATATAAAATAAATTTTTCTTTGTTCTTGGATTTCAAATGTTAAGGATTTATACTGAAAAGTATTAGCGTTAATTATTGATAAAGCTCTTTTGTTTGTCTGAATTTGTTTATTAATAATTTCCTTGTTGAATAATGCAGAAAAGGTGGAAGTTTTAAAATGATAGTAATCAAATTATAATTCCGAAATGGAATTGATAAATTTTAAAAATAAGTTTGTGATAATATTAAATTAGGTACTTTGCATGCTAGTTAACAACAAATGGATTTGTACTATTTTATTAAGTATAATATGGCATAAAACAAGAATATCTAAGTTATATTTTAATAATTAAAGAAAATGATTTGGATTCCAGGAAAAATGGATTTTAATTGTATAAATTTGTGGAGAAATCGGTTCATTTTAGCATTGGAAATCCAAGAATTTAAGGTATTTAATAAACAAAATAAATAAAAAAATAGAAGCAACACTAATTTCATTCTTTAATATCTATGTTCTTACATTTTAGGTGGATGAAATACTTACTTTGAAAGATCAAGGTACTCAGAAAACTCCAAGAAGCACAACTGAAAAAGTTGAAACAGGTAAATTATTTGTCGTAACGTAGAAAAATATTCACGTATTATTATTTTCAATTATGTTGATATTATGTACGTATCTTATAAATAATTCGAAAAAAAATCTAATAATGAATAAAGTTTCGCATAATATCGGATGTCAAGTGAATGATTCAAATGATAATTGTATTTCAAATGAACAATTGTCGTGTAAATTTAAAAATGAAATGGGAAATAAAGGCAAATCACATGTGTTGGAATGTAGTAATAGCTGGAAAATAATAGGAATAAGTAATTTAAATGAAACAAATTCAAAAGAAAAGTGTATTTTTAATGAAATTACTGAAGAAATGTAAGTGCTTTTTTATTGTTTAAGTTTTGCTTTTATATTGTTTAAATATTAGAGATATTCGCGACTTAAGCGAGTTTTAATATTGATGGGTTTGTTGTTTTAGATTAATAGCTTTACGTATAAATGTTTATTTATGTACACACCCAAATAGAATGAATTAAGAATGAAAATATTTATTTTTAATTTTAAAAAATTCTGTCAAATATTGAAATTCGTTATGAAAAATTTTAAGGAATGATATAATTATTTTAGAGAAGATTTAAATTATTGCAATTTTAATAATTTTATTACTGGAACAGAATTTTTAAATTTTCATACAGAATTTCGTTGGCAACCTTTAAAAATTACATACAATAAAAGTGTAAAAGTCAACCTAAGATAAAGTTGACTAATCCTAACTAAGATCAAGTTCCTAATAAAAGTAATCTAAGATAATAAAGCAAGTAAAATATTTATTTTATAATTTGCTAAAAAATTTTTTATTCAAAATTAATATTTTAAATTAATATAAAAATTTGAATCACTGCATTTATATTTAACTGATAGTCTTTATATTCTAAGCCTTATTAAAAGTGTACTTATTCTTAAAACTGCTCTTATAAATATTCTTATTTTTAATTATTTGTTGCATTAGACTAAAAATAATTATATTGTTATAGTATAGTTATTTAGTAATATAAAAATAAAAATAATTTTAACCTTTAATCTCATTTTAGATATTAATTAAGAGTATAACATTAGTTTTTAACTAAATATTTTCTAAAATTTTTTGATTATTTTTAAAAAAAATTGTTATTTACTAATCTGTGTGTTTGTTTGATTAATAAAAACAAACAGATCCGACTTCAATCCAAAATTGTTGATCAGGTTCTCCAATATCACGTATACCAACATCAATAACTGGTAATCGTGTAGTTTTATCAGTTGTGTATTTGATAACTGTTTTTGCCCAAGAATTCGAACGTGATTTACAACCGTCTTCTAAAACTTCATAACGTAATCTTTGCGGTCCTTTTGGACTAAGTTCGGCATCATTCCATGCAAGCAATTTCATTCCGCGTCTAAAATAAAAATTTTCAGCTTTAAACACTTTTTAATATATATAATTTATTGTTTTACCTAAAGGAATTATTTGCTTCATCTTCATATCCAATTGTTTTCTTACAATGTAATGTTATACTTTGTTCACTTCGACCAGATAATAATTGTAAAAATCCAATTTGCATTGAATCTGCTTTATAAGTTAGTTTAATACCATTATCCATCTCACCCAACCAAATTTCTTGTTCTTTTCCGGAGTAAGTTAATTTTGGACTTTTATTTGGTTTTGCATATACACATGTGGCTTTCTTTTCCATATCACAATAAACTAAAATAGCATCTCTTGGATCTGCTTCATTTGGATCAATCCAGTATTCTCCAGATTTCAAATCAGGATAAGCAAATGCCAAGTCCTTACAAGTTTTTGCTGGAGAATTTTGTTCACCGTTAGGTTTTTTTATGCGATCAAATTGATCTTTAATTTGTTTGTATGCTTTTTCAATGATGGCTTGATGCTGCTCGTCAGTAAGTTCATCGAATTTTCCAAACATTCTTGGTGGTTCGTCGCCAAGACCTGGGTCTGGTCCTTTAGAACCTCCAATTGAACCTTGAGCCAATAAGGCAGCTAATGCTGCAGCATCGTATCCTAAACTTTCGCCTGGAGGTCCAGGTGGTCCAGGTGGACCAGCTGGGCCTGGTACTCCAGGTTTTCCTTCACTACCTTGTTGTCCTCTTAATCCTTGTGGACCAATTTGTCCTGGTTGTCCAACGGAACCCTCGCGACCTGGTAAGCCTCGAGGCCCCATATCACCTGGTTTTCCTGTTGGACCTGGAGATCCTGGATTTCCTATGTCACCTTTGAGGCCGGGTTGGCCAGGAAGACCTTGTAAACCAACCAAACCACGATGTCCTTTTAATCCTTTCGGGCCAGGTTCTCCTGCATCACCTTTTGTGCCTGAAATATAACATTAAAAAAATAAATTATATTATTTTTATTATAAAAAGCAATACCTTCCGTTCCAGGTGGACCCGGTTTTCCTCTAGGTCCCATTTGCCCTTCTACTCCTTGGGGACCCGTTTCACCCTTGAAACCTCTTTCTCCTGTTAAACCTTGTGGACCAAGTGGACCTGGAGGCCCCGGTAATCCTGGGGGACCAGCCGGTCCTTGATTGCCAATTTGTCCAGGTGGTCCTTTATCTCCAGGTCTGCCAGCGATTCCTAATATAATATACAGATTTTAAAATTTTAGACGAACCCCCAAATATATACAAAAAATTAAAATTATTTGATATTTGGTTGACTTGGTTGCTTAATATATTAAATTTTAATATAATTTTTAAAAAATTTTATACCAGGAACTCCAGTTTTTCCAGGTCGGCCTTCGGGACCCGCTTCTCCCATTGGTCCAGGCATTCCCATTGGTCCGGGTAATCCTTGGGAACCCGGTTCTCCATCCTTTCCTTGTGGACCTGCGTAATATATTTAAATGTTTATCACAAGGAGACATAACAGAAAATTTAGCTTAATTTAAAAGTAAACTGAAAATTAACAGATATGAAAGGCAAATTTCTCTTTTCAAATACATATAGTTTTGATGTTAAACATCTAGTCTACTTAGGTAAATTTTACTATGTATATACATATTTTAAAATTTTAAGTTTGTTCTTATTTATATGAAAATCGTTAGTATTGATAAAATTATTAGAATACTCTTATAAAACTTTTTTTAACCTGGTACTCCACGTTCGCCCGCACTTCCTTGTAGACCTCTTAACCCAGGTGTCCCAGGAGGACCATTTAGTCCAGGCAACCCTCTTTCGCCGGCTGGTCCAGGAGGACCTTGGTTCCCTGGCAGCCCGGGTTGACCGTCACTACCAGCTTCACCTTTAAGACCTTCTGCGCCGGGGGGACCTTGTAAGCCAATGTGTCCAGGATTTCCAGGTCTTCCATTGTCTCCAGGATTACCTTTTATACCTGGAGTTCCTGGAGGTCCAGGTGGCCCAATATTTCCTGGATGGCCCTAATAAAACACTTCCATTAAAAAAATTTATTTAAAATATACGTAGCTATAGGAATTTTTTTATGTTTCCTAAAAAACTTTCCACATATTTCCTGAACATTTAAAGTATATTTTAATTTTCTATTATCATAATTATTAAATATTTGTAATAGAAACATCTTACCGCCAAACCCGGTTCTCCTGGTCTGCCTGGTGGACCACCCATACCAGGTTCTCCTCTTTGTCCTACTTCCCCTCTTGATCCTTTGGCACCGGTTAAACCAATCGGTCCGGGAAGTCCTGATTCTCCAGGTAAACCTTGTGGCCCAGAACTACCTTGTTCACCTTTTATACCCATTAGTCCACGATCACCTTTTGCTCCGGGTATGCCTGATATTCCAGGAGGACCCGGAAATCCTGGCGGACCAGCCGCTCCTATAGGACCGCGCTCGCCCGGAGATCCTGCAGCACCAACTTCTCCGGGTGGACCTGGTGGACCAGGTTCTCCCCTTTCTGCAGGTTCCCCAGGTGGTCCAGGTGGACCAACTAAGCCTTGAGGTCCTACAATATAAATATTCGTGCAACATTTATTTAAAGCTTTTCATTATTCGCAGTGTTTATTTAAATATTCAAATTAGTTTTTAAAAGTTAAATGATGTTTTTTTAATTTTTTGTTTAGCGATTGAATTTTTTTACAATAATGCTGCAATAGCTTTATGGCTTATTTTGCTTTTTAAGTTGAAATTTAGAATATAGTCAAATTTTAAAAATATCAAATTAAAATTCTTTCAAGTTATACCTCGTTCACCCATTCGTCCAGCAGGTCCTTCACTTCCTATTGGTCCAATGCTACCCCTCTCACCCTTTTCTCCTGCGTATCCTGGTGGACCACGTAATCCTGGCAATCCAATCATACCTGGTGCACCTATATGTCCTTTCATGCCTGGTTTTCCTGGTAAGCCTGGCGGTCCATCATTTCCAGGAGATCCAGGTTCTCCCCTTTCACCAGAATTTCCTGGTTGTCCTATAGGGCCTCTTTCTCCAGGAAAACCTCGTTCACCTCTTGGGCCAGCTGGTCCGGTTTGTCCTGCAGGCCCGGTTGGGCCACTTTGACCATCTTTGCCAGGAGAACCCGGACTACCTATTAATGACATATAAGTAAACATGTTAATAGAACTATAGAATAAATCTTCGTATTTGACTTTGTTTTAAAATAGACTTTTTATTTTTGTCATAGGTAGATGAAAATATTTAAGTGAAAGTCACTTTCCAGTCAGATTTTTAGAAATTTCCGACGAAGAAGGAAGTCCGATTTTTAGAAATACTTAATTAAAAGAGTATGCTTCAATTTAGAACAAAACTATAACAGAGATAATCATAAATATAAGTAAAGTGGTACTTAACCTGGGGATCCTGGTAGCCCTTGAAAACCTCTTGGGCCATCGGGACCAGGATTTCCTCTTGGTCCATCTTGTCCCTGTGGCCCAGGGGGTCCTGGCAAACCAGGTAGTCCGTCTTTTCCAGCATCTCCTCGTGGACCTTGAACTCCTTGGGGGCCGGCTTCACCATCTTTCCCTGGTTCTCCTGGAAAACCTTTGTCACCAGGTATCCCTAAAGGACCCGGTAGCCCTTGTAATCCTTGAGGTCCTTGTTCTCCTGGTTTACCATCTGCTCCAGGCAAACCTCGTTCACCTTGGCCACCCTGTTTTCCTTGAGGTCCTATTCGACCTGGTAGGCCTCTTAATCCTTGAATTCCAGCCGGTCCGGGTGGGCCAACGTCTCCAACGTTACCTTTGGGACCTAAGGGACCTTCCGGTCCCCTATCACCAGCTCCACCTTTAGGTCCTGGTGCTCCGTCAGGTCCTGGAAGGCCTGGACTACCAGTTGGACCCCTTTCACCTAAAAACCACATTGAATTTTTAAATGTTCGGTTTGTTCAATATTAAAATTGAATACCTTGTGGTCCACCAGGTCCTGCAGGGCCTCTCATTCCCCTCTTCCCACGTTTCCCTTCAGGGCCAACTGTTCCTGGCAACCCTCTTGGACCAGGTGGTCCGGATTCACCCTTTAAACCATTATCTCCTTTGAAACCTCGTTCCCCAGGTGTACCAGGTAAACCTTTCATACCTGGTTGTCCTGGATTTCCGTCGACTCCGGGTGGTCCCCTACTGCCAGGAAATCCTTGTGGGCCTGCGATACCTGGCGCACCAACAGCACCTTTCTCTCCAGGGGATCCATCTTTGCCAGGTAAACCTGGGTTTCCAGGTTCTCCAGGAGCGCCTGCTCTTCCACTTTCACCTCTTGGTCCCTGTAATCCCTGGTCTCCTTTGGGTCCTATGTGACCCATATCACCTTTAGCTCCAGGAGTTCCGGGGAATCCAGGTGGGCCAGGTTTTCCGGGTGACCCAGGTTGTCCAGGTGGACCTGGAATTCCATCTACTCCTCGAGCTCCAGGTGATCCTGGGGGACCCTCCCGTCCACGCTCTCCTCTAGCACCAGCAGGACCCTTAAAAATGAATGGGAATAAATAGTTTTAAATAAAGAATTTCAAAAATGCTTACAATTGGACCGGTAGGACCGATAGCTCCTATTGGTCCTGTAGATCCTTTTTCTCCTGGAGCACCATTTTCGCCTTTGGCACCATCGATTCCAGGATAGCCTCTATGTCCCTTTACGCCGGGTATGCCTACGAAGAAAGTCATTTGTTACTTTTTAAACAATATAATAATGTAATTGATAATATTCGAAATAATCATTTACCTGGCATTCCGGGTAAACCGCGTGGTCCTGGTGGCCCAGTAGCTCCTGGAGATCCTGCTTCTCCATCATCTCCAGCTGCTCCATCCTTCCCTGGTGCTCCTGGAAGTCCTCTAGGACCTGGCTGGCCTGGTATCCCTGGTTGTCCTGCTTCACCAGGCTCCCCTCTGCCTCCTGATTAAGGTTTTGAATCATTTTAATATTGTTTTGGAAATATTAAAAATGTAAACATTTTATCAGTTACCTTGAAATCCTTGTGGCCCTGCCATTCCTGGAGGTCCTGGTGGTCCCTTAAAAAATAATAAAGTTAGGTTATAATTTACTTTTTTCCAAAAAAGCTTTTTACTCTTGGCCCAACTGGTCCAACTTGAGCTTGCAGATATTGAAAATTTTCGGGTCTAAATGCGGGAGCTCCAGGTCCCTTATCATTACTTGCATAAGCATCGGCTAATTGTTGAGTGTAAAATGACATATCTGGAATCGGACCTGGTGGACCAGGTGGTCCAGGAATTCCAGGATTTCCTGGAACGCCGGGAACCCCACTGTCACCTTGCCGACCTGGTGCCCCCATATATCCGTCTTCGCCTCTTGGTCCAATTGCAATTGTACCAGGTGATGCGTAATCAAGTTGTCTAGTTTGTGGCGCCGGTGTAGTTGATGTTGTAGTGAAAGGAGTTGTTGGACGAGGCGTTGTAGTTGTGATATTTGGTTTACATTTTCGATCATCACATTGAAGTTGGCCGCTTAAACAAGTGCATGTGGCACAATTATTTGCTCCTGTTTCAAAAACTTCATTATTACGATACCATTTCCCTTCATGAATACATTGAAATGATCCAATAATGTTTTCACTTGGTAAACTTGAACTGTGTCTTGTCGGAACGTCTAACAAAAAAAAAATTTACAAGTTAAAAACTTATATTATAATAATAATTTACAAAATAATTTCAATTAATTACTTGACGGGATACTTCTCGTATCTTCATGAAGTCCATTGTTATTATTGTTATTGTCTAGGTGATCTAGAACGAATAAATAAAATTAATAATATGACTTTTCTATTAACAAATAAATATTGTGTTGATGATGCAGTATTATATTTTATAGTCACACATATCTAGAAAGGTGGTAGTTACTAATTTTAATGAATCAAAAAATACCGTTAATTCAAAATTTTTAATAAGAAGGATTCGAAACCCGTTATTTTCCAGTTTATTAGTCTTTTATTTGTTTAAACAAAAATTAATATGAATGAAATATGTGGAAATCATGTGCAGCCGAACTAGAACAATTAGAATTGAAGTTGCTCTAAATATAAAACTATAAAATTATCAGTATTTTCTATCCTATTAAAATTAGGAAAAGAGCTGTTATATATGTAGTTTTTTAAATCAAAAGAACATAAAATCAAATCTTCCTTTTTTGTTTTATATTTGAAATTTTCAATTCTAATTGTGGTTTTAAAGAAACTAAACGGAGTTCCGGAAACAAAAATAAAGGAAATAAAAATCAAAACACTAGAAATGTTTTTAGAATTTGATGAATTTGTTATTATACTTAAAGAAGCATTTGTGTCGCAAAATTTCTCTAACAAAAATATAAAACAGCCGAACATGTGGCAGTGGCCTAAAAAATGCTATGACAAAGTTAAGTATTTATGTTGCTAATCATGCTATACTAATTATATTTTTCATTAAAATGCAGTTGGAATTTGAAATTCGGGAGACTTAGCTGTTTTAAACTAATTTTTTTCAAAAAAAAATTTTAAGATTTCAATAAAATAATGGTTCTATAAATATTACCTATAATTGCCTATTTGTTCTCTCTTTTGAGAGAACAAATAGGCAATTATAATCTTCGTAATAATTTTAATTATTACGAAGATTACGATTCAATTACTTATCTTCGTAAAAATTTTATAAATTTATAAATCATTTTATAAATTCTTTGTAAAAAAACAGCCCTATAGAAATTTCTTAAAACTAAAATTTCATGGTGAAAATAATGAATTGCTCAGACACTTGAAATTTTAATGTTAAATTTGTTTTGAACAATTTTTACCTATATCAGTATATTCATCATAGTTATCATAATTTAAATCATCATCTTCATCCGGATTCGGCAAATCAGCTTGTGGTTTATTTAATAAACTATTTCTGGCTCTTTTATTTAATTTATTGCTTTCTTTTTTTAATCGTTTTGATTTATTTTCATCCGATACAGCAGCGTTTACAATTAAAATATTCAAAACTAAAGTGAACAATATGATTTTTTTCTTTCTCATTTTATTAACTTAAATTTTTTTTATTTATTTATTTTTTAATTTGTTTAATTATTTAATTTAATTTAATTTTTTTATAGAAAATCATTGAAAATTCTAGAATGTTTAAAAAAAAAATAAAATTTAATTCCATTCATGTAATTTAGTTAATATTTTAGAGAAATATAAATATACTCTATAATTATATAAAAATAAAATTGAAATTGATAAGGACCTGCGCTAAAAAAGCGTACGTTAACGCATGCATTTTTAAAATTTTAAAATAATTTCAGAAAATATTCTATCTTAAGACGTTTTTAAAGTTGAACTTGTTTTCATTTTTATTTTTTGAAGAACAAGATTAGAGAGAAAAAATAATTGAGAGAATCGGGTTAGTTAAAAGTGAGAGTAAATTTAAAGTTCAATATATTAAAATGAGTGGGTACCGGAAAATGAGCAAAATTTTCTTCTGTAGTGAAAGAGTATTTGAAAATATAAAAATAAGAGAATTTTGATATTTTTTATTGCTCTCTATTAATCTCTCTATTACTCTCTATTTAATAAATATTTTAGTGCTCAATTCAGGTATATCATCAAAAAGAGATTATAGTTCTTTTAATAACTGTTATTAATATTTTAACTTTATAAATTACAGTTTATTTTGAATATTTAGCACTCAATACTAAATTTAGTGCAGCTCTTTTTCAAAATTTTTTAATTATTTTTTAATAACATCAATTTTTCCTCAACTTGCCTTTGGAATCTATAAACGAGCTTAGTGACTTTATAAGTTATTTCTTCTTAAACTAATTAACTTTTATAATTTTAGTATAATTTTTTAATGTTAAAAATCAATTAAGATATTGTTTCACTATTGCCAAATAATATAATATTATAAATAAACAAAAGTAAAGTCAGTCGTTTTTAAAAAAGCACATTTCATCCCGATAAACTGGGCTTAGGTGTGGCGCATTAATACAAGCAATATTAATGCAGAAACAAATATACATACTGGGAAATGCAGTGCAGAACTTTATATGTGCTTAAAACAAAGAGCAGCCAATATAAATAAATAAGTAAATTTGGGTGTAATCTATTGTTGGCAAAAATGAATTTTTCCCTTAAACAAATGAAAATATTTTTTTAAAAGCAATCTACATTGCATTTTTAAATTACTTTCGTTCATATACTAAAATATATCAATTTATTGCATAAACATAGGATGAGCAAAAGAAAAAATTTGAAAGAATCGTTGTGGTAAAAATTTTCTTCCATAGAAATACATAAGTTGTTACGAAATATCTATTTGTGTATAAAATTTCAGCTTTCTATCTCAAAGTGTGTAGAAGTTTTGTAAATAAAAACATGGACAGACGAACGAGCGGACGAACCGAGTGAATTTTTTGTTTTTTTCTGAAAAAATGGTAAAAAAGAATCGATAGAAAAGAAAAAAGTTGCGAACTTTTTACTTTTGCAAAATACTAAAGTTCTTTACGATGTTCATAATAGAACCACTATTATTTATTGTGCATTGAGGTGTGAGGAGTCCTTATTTGAGGAGAGAAGAGGCAAATGTACTAGCGAAATTGAGCTTTATTCAACTTAAATGTTTGTAAGCCGATTTACAGGCGGATCCGGAAAATAAAACTAATTAGTAAGCACATTTTTTTTAATTTTTGTTTCGTCATACCGTTAAAAAATTAACGATGTAAAAAATTGCATATCTTTAAGGGAAATTTTTCCTCCAATGAATTGACAATTTCATTAAAATAATATTACAGTTTCTTGCTAATATAAACGAGTATTTAAAAAATAAGCAAAACAAAGAGATTTTTATGTCTTATTAAAGAATTTTTTTTTGTTATTTTGTTTTTTTTTTTTGGTTGATCTAATACGAAAAATTTATATGCCTTTCCTTATCGCAACCCATAAAGGAATATACAAAAAAAAATAAATAATTTTATTAGATCGTCTCTTTTAATTTTTTATTTTTTTTTTTTTTTGAAGCAAATTTGGTTACAGGTCATGATGAACTTCCGCTTTTCAATGTTTCTTATCACTTTAGAAATTTATAAATTTTGTATAAAATTTGCTTTTTTGAAAGGTTTAAGATTTTTTTTGGATTTTTAAAAAATTTTTTTTTTTAAAAGAGTTGAATTTAATTTTTTTAATATTTTTTAAAATTAAATTATTTCAAGTAATATTTTTATTAATTAATTAATCTATTAACACTTTATTAATATTTTAAATTTTTATAATTTAATTATTCTTTATTTAAATAAAGAATTTTAATTTTTTTTTTCCGAGAAGATTTTTTTCGAGATTGGATTTTTTTTTTAATTATGTTGCGTGCCAAGTCGATAGTATCGAGAAAATATAATTTTTAATATTAATTTTAAAATATATTTTGTAATAAATAATAAATTATTTTAATTATATAATCTCAAATTTAAACAATATAAAATTTTATTTTTTACTTCATTTTCTTCACTACTCAATGAAATGTGAGTGTACGGAAAAAGAAATACTTTAATTTTTCAAACTATTTAAACAAACGGCCACGGATTTAAAATAAAACTGAAATTATTCAATCGTTGATCTTGTCTATTTATAGTTTTTCTCTCTATTTTATTCTTATTTCTCTAAAATTTCTAACAAGTACCAAGTTTTTAACTCTTCAAGTAAAAATTATCAAAATTCAAAATGAAAAAAATTTAAAAATATTGAGAATATTTGAGTTTTTACTTGCGAGATTTTTGATTTCTTCTATTTTCTTGTTAAAAATTTTAATATTTTAAATTTGATAAAAAAATTCCTCTATAAATTTATAATGGAAACGAATACATGCGTAAAAATAATATATACATACGCATAATATTCTATAAGAATTTATTGAAGTCTTTCTTTAATTCGGAATCTTATCAATTTTTTATTCTTCAGTAATATGGTATGGGTGTAAATTGATCGATCAGCTGTGTAATAATCGAAGTCACACTTATTTTATTTACAAAATATTTTATTGTTTTTTGTTATTTTTTTTGTTTTTTAACAAAAAGCCGGCTTTCAGTTTAAAAATTTAATTATCATATTATGTAATTTAAGTTTATTTTTAAAATGCATATAACAGATATGAAATAAATTTTTAAATTGTACTAAACGCCAATATTATAAAAACGTACAATTGTACATTATCAACACATAACCCACCGTAATATTGTGTCCAGTTCAGTGAAAGTGTTACAGAAGGTTATGAAAATGAGTTTTAAACATTTCTTTTCAATTTTGAAGAAGGTTTTAAGAATAATTACTAGAAATTCCTTTATACAACTGCAGAACAGATGGATTACGAAATTAAAGGAACAAGTCAAGGCGGAAAAATTAAAAAGTTTTTTTCTTCGAACTGGACCCGAACCAGTGATCTACCGCCCTCATATATCTATTGCATTTGTATGAATTAATTTCCATCAGTTTTTCTCAGAAAGAAGTTAATAATAAAGCTAAAAAACTGAACGTTCTATTGGTAATTAAATTAGTAATGAAGTCACCGACATCACTCCAAAAATATTTTTTTAGGTTTTCCTAATATATGAAGAAGTGCGTTCCTGCGTCGAAAACCCGACATCACATAAACTCTCTTTTTGTTCTCTTGTTAATCCTTTTTCATTATTATAGTTTTCTAATGTTTCTGACATTGACCATCGCATATAAGTGTACAGCAATATAGTTATTTAATTTTATTTCGAAAGGATGATTTTAATATGTACAATTTTCAAAGACAGTTTATTTTTTTATTACAACATCACTGGAATATGCTATTCCAATTTTCAGATGAGAATTTATTTACAAAAAAAGAAAAAAAATGTAAAAAATTAAACGTGATCTTTGATCGCACATTATGTTTTGGCGGGAAAATATGTTCAATGTGCCTAATGATAATAAATTGTTATGCCATGAATTTACACAGTATATAAATACAGTGACCAGATTGTAAAATCATAAAAAAATTAAAGTGATTACACAGCTGAGTTCAAACGATATTTAGATTAATTTTGTTGTGTTATATGAAGCTCTTTATATTTTTTATTGTTTTTGCTTTTTTTTTTTAAAGATTTTTGATAAGAAAATTAATTAAACAGTTTACTTGTGGTTTTTTTCTTGTTTTTGCTTTCATTCATTGCATCATTTATATTTCTAATATTAACCTAGACTCTGTGTAGGTTTATTGAACTTAGAATTTTTATGATCATTTCAAAATCTTTAAGCTATTATATGTAGGTATGTACATTTTAAGCTACATATGTGTGTCTGAGTGTATGTAGTAATAATGAAATTTTCACATTTATATTTAGAAATAGGAAAAGACCTTCAAAAGAATCATTAAGATATGGTTTTTTTACTAAGTAATAATTGGGTCAAAAAATTTGATTATTTTTATTATGAATATTCTATTCGTTTCAGATTGAAAAAAAACTCTGTATGTTGGTTTTTCTCGTTTTTGTTTTTGTATATTTTTAAAAATATTAATTGTTATCTATTAGAGAACTTTAGCTCAAAGAAAAATCGCGAATAATATGGAAATTTTTAAAATCTGTTTAGTTATAACCATTATCAATAAATAATATGGTTTCTGATAATTTTATTATAAAGTTTCATTGATGATTGATGAAAACAGAAGCCGCAAGTGTATACAAAAATTGCAAATTTAATTTCTATTTGTCAATTCTGAACTCGTGAGTTTTTTATATTTTCGATCACTTTTTTTTAAATATTTTGTACATCCTGCCATCTACATTAATTAATTAAAATTATATTAAGAAATGTCAAAATATAATAAAGATTAAATTATTTTAAAATATTTATTTTAAGACATAACAAATTTATTTTGTCATTTGGTGGATTAAATCCATATGAAAATTATAATACCAATGATGATTCAAAGTCAGATGGGAGATCAGTTTTTCTATACAATTTAAAACAAAATGAATGGTCAGAGTTGACAAAAATGCGTGGAGCTAGACATCATCATTCAGCTACAATTTGTAATAATAAAATTTATGTCGTTGGTGGTACTAAGCCAGCTCGAGGGAAAGAGATTCCGGTGAGTTTAATTGAAAATAAAATTCTTATTTATTTAATTTTGTTTTTTTTTGTTTACCCTTCAAGTAGTATACATACACATATTATCTTCTTCTTCTATATATACACAAAAGAAAAATTATTAGCTTCTTCTTCCATATAAAGTGCCAATAATCCATGCAAGTTGGCAATGCAAGTTGGTCATGCATGTTGGTCATGCAAGCTGGTCATGACCAACTTGCATGACCAATATTTGAGCATATACAAATGTATGTATATGTATAGAACTGAATGTACATAAATGTGTTGGTCTGCCTGTGACGAGATTTACAATTTTCCCTCTGGTAGATTTTTGGAAACTGTTCTGTGAGGCCATAGGTCACGAAAAATAAATTTGAAAAAAATATATATATGTATGTGTGCTCGTTACGTTGAATATAGTTCTATGGACAGTTGAGATTTAAGTAATTTTAAAACGAAATTTTAAATCAGGAGGCCACCATCACCCAAGAATACCTTAAGGTCTCCGGAAATTTTACATGTGAACGAATTATTTGTATAATCCTGTCCTGTAGAGAGTGTACGGTATTGAGAAACGAATATAAATTTATCAGTCTGTTAAAGTACAAGAATAATAAATAAAGACTGCTAGCTATGCTCGACTAGAATCGTAGCTATGGTCGACGTATTAGCTAGTGGGCTGACTGTATAAGTAAAAACCTCCTTTATTATGGTATAAAAATAAATTTAAAAATTTTAAAAAATTTTTTCATGTTTTGTACAAAAATAAAATTTATTGTACTCTTTTTTTTTTCTGAAAAAAGTCCAATTTACTTGTAGAAGTTAAGGTTTAGTGTAGTTGGTTGTTGAAGATTTATGTAAACTGCTTTATAAACAACAAAATTTTGGCAGTATTTAGCATGAATATTGGTTTGGTACTGACCTATAAAAATCCTTTTATAATGATTCTCATTCATTTGTCTTCAGATTCTTTTTCTTTTGTTGTTTCTATTTATTTTTATTACCTAGCATCATTTATTTTTTTTTTAACTACTTCCTTTTTTTTTGTGTTGGTTTGTCAAGGATTTTTATACATAGAATACAAATATGTGCACGGAAACTTTGGTTTGTTGCGTTAACGTGTACTGAGAATTGTATTAAGGGAATGAAAATTTAGCAGGATTTTAACAGAGTATGAAGAGCTTGAAAATTGTATACTCATTTTAAATATTAAAAATAGAAGTGTCTAAATTAAGTAATGCTGCCTTTAACGAATAACATTCATAGAATAAATAAATTTTTCTGTCACTGGATTTAGTTGGGTTTAAATGATTTGCTTGGCAAGAGCGTAATTTAATATAACTTAGTTCTCAAATGAGTTTTTTTTACAAACCATTGATCTAATCGACTTTATTTCTATTTCATATTTTAAATTTATATTTTCTTAATTTCTTTAAATTTTTATTTTACTAATTTATTTTGAGAACACCCTGTAAACTATGTTATAATAATTATTTAAGAAAAACAAAAATATAAAATCATATTTTACTTTTAACATTTCAGGTAATTTCAGATACAGTTTGGTGTTTTAATCTTCTAACAATAAAATGGTCTAAAGAAACTAGGTTACCGTATCCACGTCGGGATTTTGGTTTAATATCTATTGAAAATGGATTTTATGTTATTGGTGGTGAAAGCATTGGAAATATTGTTCTATCATCTACAATATTTTATGATATTAATATGAAAGTATGGGTAAAAGTATGTTTTATCAGTATTTGCATAATTGAATTCTTTTTGCACCTCCATATTATTTAAATGCACATAAAATCGATATATAAGGAATTTAATTTTTTGGTTTAAAGCTTAAAAAAGTGTATTTCAAGAATAAGTTTCGGGATGCAAAATATTTCAGAAAAGTATATGAGGAATATATTTTGCTTTTCTTTTAAAAATTTTTGTTGAAACTATATAACAGTATAGGAACGTGTTCTAAAGAGATGCTCTTAAATCATGCCAAATATTTTAATTGTGTATGTAGTAAGGGAAATTAGTGATAATCTTATATGAAATTTGTGAGATATAAGATTATTTTCGGTTTGGAATTCTTGAACGTTTTCTGCAATTAATTAATATTGTAGCATATTGTTATACCTATTCAAATTTATGTTCGAAAAACTTCGAGCTTCCCCGTTTAGCTAGGCTTACAAAAATTTTACAAATTGTTTAAAGTAACCTTTATTTAATTTGTATTTGATGAAAGCAGCCATTCGAATCTATAAAAGTCTACAATTTAAAAATTTTCCGTAAACGATTCTGGAAATAGAGCCTCTATTTCGAAAACATTTTGTAGTAGTTTCATAAGTTTTTTTCATAATAGCTGCCATATAACATAGTTTATAATATCTGAAACACTTTAAAAGGGGCATTGTTCAAACTTGGCAAAAAAAAGTTTTGTACAAAGTCACTATTTCATTAAAAATTTTGTTGGAATTTTGTGTGTTCTTACAAAAGCTTCAAAATGAATTTCGTTTATATAAGAGTGGTTATTGGTTCGTATAGCTTTGAAATTATTGGCTTGTTTTAAAGTTTGATCAAGACTGTATTAGTTCTTTTAATAATTGCCATACAATTTTAAAAATAATTTTGTTGTAGCTTTAACTATAATGTTTAGGGGTTGTTATTCGAAAAAAAAAAATTTGCAGTAGTTGCGTGAATCCTTTCATCAACTGTTTTATATAATACATGAGAAACCTTTGTACGGGTACCAAAGAGCTATACGGGCGCGGTCAACTATTCTTTTCTTGTTTTACAATTCATTTTTTAAATATAAAAATATATTTATAAATTTTTAAGTATTTTATTCTTAACTTTAAATTATGCATTCATAATTTGAATGGGTTGAAAACCGGAGCGAGAAAACTTATCATTTTTTTTTGTCATTTTCTTGGAGAGAGTAGGTTCATTTAGTTGCACTGGAAACGTTTTATAAAATGAAGAGAAATCATATCTTATGCTTCGTATTATGTAAAGTAGACAAAATAATTATATCAAGTATGAATGTATATGTTTGTATACTTGATGGAATAATGATAATTGTATGTATAAGAATAAGTATGAGTTTACTGAATGCTTATTTTTCAAGTACACACAGGCATACACACAGATAGAATGAAAATAGTTTTCCCTTTTTTTCTAGGTTAAGTATCACTTTGTACATATTTTTTTTTTACATTTTATGTCCTTTTTTATTTTTTTTTTGTTTTTAAATTACTTATTTTCTTTAGAAATTTTAAAAAAATTTAAAAAAAAAAAATATAAAATTTGTTTTGCTTTTTTTCTTTTGTTTTCCTTTACATTTCATTCTGTTTATTGTATACAACAATTTTTAAGAAAGCATCATTAAAGCAAAGCAGATCTGGGCTAATGGTTATTGCTGATACATCAAGAACTAAAATAGAGAAAAATGAAATGACGAATAAAATGATAAAATCTTGTTGTAGTGAATTTAAAAGTATTTGGGCTGCTGGAGGTATTTTGGATACCGTGAACTTTATAATAACTGATCAAATTGAAGGATATAATATAAATGAGGATATTTGGTATACAATAGGATATCTTAGAATTCCAAGGTGCTTTCTAAATGATTTTTTTTTTTATCTATTACTCTCTCTTTTTGTAAAATAGTAAATTATATTGGATTTTATTAAAAAATTAAAAGAGAAAAAATTGTAATAAAAGCATAATACAAAATTTGGACAAACACAACGATAAATATCAAATTAAGAATCTTATGATTCTAGTATTGTACAAACACATAATTAATTTTTGTAAGGTCTATGAAAGTAGAAAAATAATATAGTGTAATGTAGTGATTTGGCAGTTTTATCATAAGAATATTGTATTTAATGAGTTTTTCGATAAGAACGTCCGAATTTATTATTGCAACAGAACGCAAAATGAGTAGCGGTGTGTAAAAGAATCTTAGTCTCAGATAATCTGCTTAGGTTTATTCAGAGAGAATTCAGTTAGAAAAATTCAATTTTCGATGCAATATTTTTAACGTTTTATCTCACGAACACAATAATTTAATGACGTTAAATTGAATTTTTCAGCATTCATTTTTCTTACCATACACGAGTATGAACTAAATTCGGTGATTTAGTCGATTTGATTCTCTATAAAAAGTAAAATTTTTGTTTAATTGATTACATGTGTCATGTATAATTTATTAATTATGTCATATTAGCTAAATGTATGCCATTCAGCATTAGGCTATAAAATATCCGTAAACATTGACATATAGCCCTATCTGCTGAAGGCTACGATTTCTCCTTCTTAATTTTTAAAAAATAAGGACTGTTGATTCCGTCGTTGAAGTGAAAATCTTTATTTTTCATATTTTTAACATTGAAGTAAATATTAAGCTTTATTGACATTAAAATTCGCAATGACAGAACTGATTTCTCTCTTCCATCGACTACACAAATAGTTTGAATTAAATATTTTATTAGGTTTACATTAAAATTTTGTTATCCGTTATTCTAACTAGAAAAATTAAGATATTTAAGTTGAATTGAAATGTGTGCAGTAATTTTCGTTTCATATTCTATTTTTCTTTTTAGATGTTATGGAAAATTTTGTATTACAAATAATAAAGATTTATATTGTATTGGCGGTGTTACCAATATTGATGGTATACTTTTATCACTTCAAGATGTTGACAAATATTTCAGGGATACAAATGAATGGAAATGTGTTACGAAAATGTCATCAAGCAGGTAAAATAAGAGAAATTTAATAATTATACTTGAAAAAGAATTTTAAATGGTCTTTGCCAGTAAATCTAGAAAGTAGTATAATGATTTAATTGAAAGTAACTATTTGATGGTTATATCGTACTTATTCAAATTACTATATTTATAATTCTTTTTTTTGCTAGAAAATTCTTAAATAAAAATTTATTTTTAGACATGGCCATGATGTGATTGCTCTTGATGATAAAATTATTATTATTGGTGGTATGTCAATTCAAGAAAAGAAAATATATAAATCGATTGAGTGCTATTCAATAAGGGAATCGAGATGGCTTAATAATATTTCGGAATTACCATCACCATTATCGGGTTTATCATGTCTTTTATGTGAAGACATGGAATTTAAATGGTTTCAAGATCTAAAAACCTGAATACAACTAAATTTGTTTAAGACATTTGAAAAATATTAAAATTGCATACTTTTAGGTGAAGACGTATAATTTGTTTATAACAATATTGGAAATAATTTTTTACAAACACTGTATGTATTGAAAAAGCAGTAAATTAGTGAGTCATAGGTATTATAGCACTTACTATTAACTTTTTGTAAGAAAGTTTCGAAATGAAATTAGAGTTATTGAATAAGAATTTTTATTTATTTAAATTAATTTTAATGTTTTTAATTAAGAAAATTTTATTTAATTTTATTTCATATTTAATAAATTATTTTTATTTTAATTCAATTTACGTTTTTATATTGAAATTCATGCATAATATTAATTTTATTAAGAGCAATTCCCTCAAATTGCTGGAAAATGTGTGGTAAAGCTACGCACGCATTCATTAAATTATATTTATTAACTACTAGTAAATTGATTTACTAACATTCTATATTATAAAAATAAGCATTGGTCCCATTTTTTTTAAATTTTAATAATAATTTTTTGACTATTTTCCATCTTTTACTTGAATATTTTTCAAGACAATTTATGTGATAAAAATAATATATTATATTTAGCTATTTTATTTTCTGTACAACAATATAAATGATAGTTAAAGTTTTCTCATTAAAACAACCTATGTGGAGCTCTTTTTGGAATTAAAATTAAAATTATGTGGTGTACCCGTAGGAAAAACTAAGAGAAAACGACAACTGTAAATCAGTAATTTTAAAATATGGTTACATAAATTTATATGACTATTTTAATTGAAAAATTTTAGGAATTAAAGAACTGGGAATCAAAAAGAAGATCGAGCATAAAGAAAAGTCTTTAAAACAAAAAGTAAAAATTTTTGTTAGGTTTTCAGACTGTTAGAAATACGAAACTGTAAACAAAATTAAATTGGCGAACATCAATTCAGTATCATGCAATGCAAAGTTCAATCCAAAGAAACCTTGTTTTTAACGCAATTGATTAAGTTGGTATTGCTAGTTTTAAAAATATAGTCATTGTGAATTTGTAGTTGATAGGTTTTGAAAATAAATTTTTCCGACATTGGACACGGTTCCAGCAACTTTAATTTCTTAAAATATTTTATTCAATTATTGTTTCATTTGAGGTTCTGTCTTTTGATTCTGGGAGAATTAAATTACCTATCTGGGAGAGGCATAATATTTTGAAGTTCGTTGAAACGTTCTAAAAGAAAATGAAAATTTTGTAGAAATTTTTCTGAAAAATTAAATATTCTTATAAATTATTTTGATATAACGGAAATTCTATGTGCAATGTAACCAAAGTCCAAATTGACCAAAATTAATTCTATTTTTATTTGCCATATATTAAAATTGATTTTTTCGGAACCAATTCATAAATATTATGTTTTACAATATTCTTGTTGTCTATGATTATAAGTACATCTTTTACAAAACATCCCCAGGAGATATCTGTTTTGTTTTAACATCTAATCAAAATGAATACATACCAAATGTGGTTTTTCATAATGGAAAACAATTCACAATTAAACAAACAATATTAAAAATACTATGGTCAAAAATAAACAATGAAGAATTCATTAAAGTTTTTCTGGCAGTTTTTTTTTTGTTTTTGTTCCAATTCTACTTTTTGGTTTTGGTTTAAAATAGAAATTTATGTTTTAAATAGGAAAATGTAGAATGTTAAAGGTTATTTCATAAATAAAAATTATTGTTTGTTTTTTTTTTTTACTCCAGTTTATTTTTGGTTTCGTAAAAAGGAAGGAAAATAAAAAACTGGAAAATATTGCTGTAGAAACCAAAATTATTGCATTCACTTGTTTTGTAATAATAATTTATAAGACTAGATCCATATGCTACGAGTATATCTCATAAATGAATTTATAAACGATGTTAAATTGTTCCTTCACATTTATATTTAATATTGTATAACAGTTAACAACACAATTAAATTGTTTAATTTATATCAAATTGAAAATAAAGTTAAGGGGTGGTAAGATCTGAATTTTTAATTATGTGACTCTATATATGATGTGATTATTATAATAATGATGTTGATAAGAAGGAATAATATTGTTTGTTATATATTCAATGTTGTCAGTAAAAAGGAAATAATATTAATAGTAGAGTATTTTAAAAAAACTTCTCTGACTCAAAATTTCTGGGGTTTGCTCCCAGAAAAGAGTTCTCTAATAATTAGGAAATAATAAGCAACTAATACCAGTTTGTCTCATGTTTTTCGAATTCGGCCATATAAAGCTTAATAAAATATGCACCTGATGCATCATATGATGCATCTTGCAACATAACAGACCAAAAATTTTTTCGAATTATTCAGAAAAAATTACATTTTCATAATATGTATTTCGTATTAACAAATGTTCTCTGATAGCAGGTGTTTTCTGCATTATTGTAATCATTTACTTTATCTACTCGTATTTAGGTAATGGAAAAGAATCAGATCTTTTAGTAATTTTCGTTTTTTTTTTAAATAAAAGATATTTCAAGAACATTTTTAATGTGTACGTGTCGGGTTTTAAATTTTTTCTTGGAAATTGCAAAGATTTTATTTTATGATATCCTCATATATTAAATTAGTTTCTTTTGAATATAAATCGCTTTTTTTTTGACCATTTATTTGTCCTGTTTTTGCGTTATGTAAGCTGCATGGAATGAATAGGATGTTCGGAGCCAAAAAAAAATTTATTTACTTTTTGTATGATTAAAATAGTGTTTTTCTATATAATTTGTAAATTTAATTGCATATTTCTAACAAAATTTAAGTATTCAAATGCAGATGGAAATGATTGAAAGTGGTGAACTTGTAAACATTAAGCTATGAGCAGAATCATTTCAGCTATGAAAATTCTCGATTTTCTCTTATGACTGTAGTTTAAACAAGATAACTTTAATAAATGATTGATTAAGTTTGTGTTCGAAATTGTAGCTATACAGTATTCTAATACACAATTCAAATTCTCAGTCGTAATTGCTGTGTAGGAATTCTAAAGTAACGAATACACTGCCGGTTACTATAACTTGTCGCCTGTGTCTTAAATATTATGTGATTTAAATTTTAATATTACAAATTCTACCATAACAATAGCTCACATTTAAGATGAAAATTTTTTAATGTTTTTAAGTATATTTTTCCTTGGAATCCGAATTGAGCCCTATCGCCCACTTATACATATACTTTCAGATTTTTTTGTAATTATAATTTGCTCAAATATTTTTAAGAATAAACAACAATCTACTATTATAATTAAGAACAATTAAAAAAAAATTTTAAATTTATATACAATAATTATCATAATATATTTAACAAGTTTATACTGTTATATGTATAACAGCTTTAAATTTTCATTAATTATTTTGAATTTAATTGGTTTTAAATGGTTTAAAATTTTCCATCTGAGTATAAATTTTTAATTATTTTATTTTATATTCAGTTTTGTAAATTATATTATATAATATTATATAAAATTATTTATTCAGCTATTCACAGTATACAGTAATATCGTATATCTTAGTATATTATAGAAGAACATTATATGAACCTACACACAATCCGTAAAGTATAAAACTGTAAAAAAACCCATTAAATTGTATTCATAATTTATGATTGTTTTGTTTATTTGTTTTTGTTTTTTTTGACCAATATTCTCGTATTTTTTTTTTTGTATTTTGGGATCAGGATATTATGAAAATATTTTACCTTGATCCTTTATTTATTATTTCTTTATGTACATAAATATTTATGTGAATGAATTGTGATGTTATTATCGTGATGCTCTCAAAAATTGTAGGCAAGAACTTTAATTATTTCATGGAAAATAAGTTAAAAAAATTTTTATTAATGATTAGGTACTACAGGATATTCAAAAATATTATTAGTTGTGGTATTATTGAGATACCTACATCATACGTACCCTAATCTCTTGTGTATACGTCTTTGAACGTATGAAAATTTCAACAAATCAAAATTCAAATCAAAATATTTTACCAATTCCATAATTTCTTAATGATTTTTAAAAATGCTGTGATTTTGTTTACTGTAATAATTTAGGCAAAATGCTTGGCCGGCATATTATTGTCGTTGCTTGCATTATTATTCAATTCACATAATCGGTAAAATCTATGAATTTGAAATCTGAATAGTAGTTTTTTATTAAAATCAAAGAGACTAGTAGAAGTACTTTAAAATATATGATTTTTGTATGTAAGACTTGATGGGCTTGAAGGGATACTATAATTTTATTGTTTGAAGAGCTGCTGCTCACATGTTATCTGATCACATCAATTCGGGGGGAAAGATCGTTAGGTTCAATAATCTGTACGATCAGCATTCATTATTTATTTGTAAATTAGGAATTAAAACTTCCATTAAATTATGAGTTGTGAACAGCTTATATTCCTACTTCAATGATCGTTTTTTTTTGGCAATTTTATAGGCCTAATGGTTTATTATAAACGATTTCATTAATTTCAAACATCTTAATGATTTTTAATGATAAATGCGAATAAAAATTGACTTATCCTTTACCTTTAATATTTTTATATATTCGAATATCTTTATATCTATCTTATTTTTTACAAACTATGTACATACATACATGTGTATGTTCTTACAAACTCATCCTTTGAAAATTAAATTGAAAACTTTTGCAAAACAAAAAAATGAAAATCTGAAAAAAATCAGAAATTTAGGTTAAAATTGCGAGTTATACGAAGGATGATGTACCAGCTGTATCAATAATAATTTCAACATTAATTATAAACAAAAAATTATTATTTTTTTTTTTTAAAGGATAATATTATATTTCCTTATCAAAGAGATATGTAAATATGTTTGTATAAAAATGAAAAGTAAGTAAAAGCATTTTTGCTTATATTTTTTAGTTTTTTTAATGTTTTCTTACTTAACTAATTTAAAGGCACTTTTATATGAAGAATTTATAAAAGGAAAGTCAAGATAATTAAACAAAATTACAGAGT